GAACATATGAGAAAGGCATGTTCTTTAATACAGCATAAATTTGTAACCTTTTGGCTGTAAGATTGGAATAAGTTCTTTCGGTGGGCTTGTGCGTTAAAAAATCGGCAATGTAAGATGTATATTTGCAGATAATGTTTACTTACCAGAGCTTCAACACTTGTGTACTCCATTACGTGACAAAAAATCTACTGACAAGTTTCGTGACGACACTGGTGAATCGCACTTGGGACTCGTAGATTATTAATTTCGCTCTGTTGATAATGAAAAATTTTCCAACTCTCTGGCCACCTTTCTAGTAACTTTTGGTCCATATCTCTTCGTCTTCAGTTCAGATAACATGACTACTCTTCAAACCGTCCCCTGGAAAGAGGAGTCAGGAAAAGATACTACATAAGTTTATCAAAACAACATTTGTAACCACGCTGTGAATATATTTCATTAGTTAACCGTTCCATCGCCAAGGTTAACGATCATAAATATGCTTGAAAAGCGTATACAAACCTCCTTCCTTTCTCTGTTATCCTATTCTGTAAAGTATTCGCTTAAATGAAGATTTTCTCGTTCAATACAACAACTGAACCGTTGACTGTCGTTGTCTGCATAGTAATGTAGCGATGATTAAAGGTCACGTTACCACTCGTCCCGTGGATTTCCCGCCAAAACTAACTGCTAATTCATTACCAGTCCTAGTAGAAATGTATTTGAAAGCTATAAAGAAGAGAAGAAAGGGAGAATTTTGCCACTTTGAGAGCTAATTTCTACGTTCAGAAGAAAAAACGACAAGAAGGAAAAATGAATGAATGAATTCCTTTGAATGAATGAATTCCTTAGGTAATGCCATGTACTACTTATGCAATTACCTAATAAAGTTGTTGTTGTTGTTGAATGAATGAATGAATTCCTTATTTAAATTGCGCCCTTTCTATACAATATTCAAAGGCGCAGTACCCTCATCAATTTGATAGATACTACACAAAGATAGACCACAACACCGGGCACTACGTGCCCTACTCTTTTCGAACAGTGTGTGGGTTCTTTAACGTCCCACAATTTTTTTTTTTATCACATACAAGGGCTTGTGAGACGGGACCTCCATTTATCGTCCCTATCCGAGAAGACTAGAAAGTCTAACCATTTGCTGATATTATTACTAAGGCAGCACTTTCTTCTCAGTTATTTAAAGACCCTGAGTGTTGGTCCGGCTGGATTTGAACTCATGACCTGCCGCACAACAGTCCGGCGCTCTACCAATTGAGCTAACCGGGAGGCGGTTAAAATATTACTTGGTCTTTATTAGCTAGAAATTTAGCGAATGAAACCTTATTTTTATTTAATATAATTATTTTTCTTCGGCAGCGCCTTTTCTTTTCCAAAGTCATGGAGGGATTAACCAGCTCGGAGGACCCTTTGTAAACGGTCGGCCTCTCCCGGATTACATTCGTCACCGTATCGTGCAACTTGCAGCCTGTGGGGTGAGACCGTGCGAAATCTCTCGCCGTTTGTTGGTTTCTCATGGCTGTGTCAGCAAAATCTTGGGCAGATTCTATGAGACAGGTTCCATTCGTCCTGGATCAATTGGAGGAAGCAAACCAAAGGTCGCTACTCCTCCGGTCGTAACCAAGATTGTTCAGTACAAGCAACAAAATCCCACTATTTTTGCGTGGGAAATTAGGGATCGCCTTGTTGAAGAGGGCGTCTGTGATCGAGAAAACACCCCAAGCGTCAGCTCCATTAATCGCATCCTGAGAAACAAAGCTGCAGAAAGAGCCGCACAGTACGCAATGATTGAGCGTGAAAGACAACATTTAGCCAGCATATATGGCTTCCATCCATGGTCATCCATTTGTGACCCAAGTGTTCCGTGGTCTTGTCACGCTTTGCCTCAGCATGAAGACTTTTCACATCATGAATACGAGAGACGGGGCATGGAACCTCCCCCTGGGCTGTCAATCATGGCACCGTCAGAGAGTAGTAACAGCCACCAGGAGCACAGCGAAGGTAATTTATAGGTATATTTACACGAATTTGGCTCTAAAAGACAAAAATATATTTAAAAAGATGTTGATGTATATTTGGAACTAAAGGAAGAAGGTGTAAAAGAGCCCTCGCTATTCTCCCGAAAAAAGCAGCAGTAATCGCATCTAGATCTTTAATTGCATGAACTACCTAATGGTTGCTTGTGCATCAAGTTAGAGCCTGCCATCAGAAAACGTCACCTCGTTCAAATATTTCCTGAAAAGTACGAGAATAAACTAAATCGGCTACCTCGTAGAGAATCCATGGGAATTTCCATACTAATTTTACCGTTCCTTGTGCTTTGACAAATTTTTAGTGAGACTGAAAGAGGAAAATGACGGGGAGCAACGCGAACCGCAGTACACCACCAAAGAAAGAGAGGTCGCTAAAACAGAACGAGATAAACCAATTCTTCAGCGAATTGACACCGAGAATGATCATGAAGACGACTTGGATGAGTTTGAAACCAATATCCAAGAGACCAGCTTCCTTGATGACAACAGTTTTAACAGCAAAAACATCGACAACAACAACAAAAACAACAAAAAAGACAACGACACCGCTGAAACAGACAGCAAAAATTTCAATAACAATTCAGAAAATACCTGCTACAACAGTGAAAGTGAAAGTAGCAAAGATGGAAACGATTCCCAGGCAAATCAGAAAAGAAAAATACGAAGAAACAGAACAACATTCTCTCCCGAACAACTGGAGATGCTTGAGAAGGAATTTGAAAAGTCGCATTACCCAGATGTAGCCACGAGAGAAGAGCTTGCAAACAAGATTGAAATGTCGGAAGCGCGTGTACAGGTGGGACTGAATCCTGAATCTCTTTAAAACACAACTGTCCTTATTCTCCCAAGATCGCATTAGTAATTCTCCTCACTGTCTGCTATACAATTCTCATGATGAAAATTAGGAGAAGTTGGTATTGGATTAACTAATAATCCTGCAGTTTGCCTTATTTTTTTAATCTCGTCGCTTGTGCGTTTGATACCGTTTTGATTTTGTAAGGAAAAATTCTGCCTCGCTCACTCATGGGAGTTTAGGGGAAAAGTTCGCCTTTACAAAAGAATTTTCACATTAGATAGATAGATAGCTTTATTAAAAATCACATGGCAGCCTAATAAGGTTGAATTGCATGAAAACAACAACAATAATAATAATAATAATAATAATTATAACAATAATAATATTTAACGAGGGAGCCCAACTCGCCACAGCGATTTTCAGAGTGGGGCCCTCAGGACACATTATCTGACAGATTACAACATATAAGGGATTCGCATTGCAAAGTTCTGCCAATATGCAGAGCTTTCCAAAGAGGCTACTCATTTCGTTCTGATCTTGCTTAAATGCACAAGCAACTCTTCGGTGACTCTGCCACTCAAAACTTATTTTACTTGTCGTTTGTCAGGTCTGGTTCTCCAATCGTAGAGCCAAATGGCGTCGTCACCAGAAAATAAACAGCTTACCACACATACGCCATTCTTTGTTGGGTGGATGCTACCCAATGTGCACAGAATGTGACATGGCTGATCAACAGTGTACCATAATACCAAGTCCTTACAGTCCGCCGATGAACTCTCTGAGCCTTCTTTCGCCAAACGCTGACCGAATAGGTTCGTCGTCAACTTCCATATTAGGAGGTGAAAATGCGGGGAGATCTTGTTCACCCCAGGACTGCACGTGTTCGCGAGTTTGAGCCTCAAAATTTCAGTTCAAAATAAAATAGTATGGTGGTCCTATTTTGTAAATAGCGTTATGGGTTTTTTTCAGGTTTCTATGGTAACATTAGAGAAATTGTGTGCACTTGGTATTGCGATTTTATTGACAGCCTTATAATGTTCGTGATATCCAATTAATGTAAATATCAAGACGAATAAATAATCTCATTCCAAGTATGATTAGAAAATTCCATTGAAATTTTCGATTATGAGATTTTTAAAGCGTGATACCAATTTACCCCAGAGTAATATTTGTGATTCTTGTACAGAAGTGAGGGGAATAAAACTATGAAAATTTTTCATACGTCTTTTGAAGTGTTCGTTATTATATTTCTTCGACCAGTAGCGTTTCGCGAAGCCGCGAACAGTGTCAAGATCATGGACATCTTGCGACAAAGTTAATTGTCTTTATACCTTGGCCTCGAAAACCGTTCTCGAGGAGATAAGGATGCCCTAAAGTTTTTCAAGGGGTGCTTGAATCAAATTCGGTAAGGCAACCTTGACTCCATTCTGTAGGATATCAACACAGACTCGACAGCAACATACGGTCTGCGGTCGGATCATATGCGGATCATAATAGGGACTTTAAGCAAACCACGACGACTACGGCAACGAGAACGTGGAAAAACAATAGATCTAATTGGCAGAACAATAGCCCAGCACGTGCGTTTTAAACTTTCTACATTTCTTAGCCGTCCTTTGCAAAACAACAACGTGAAATCACCAAAATGTGCGTCTTCTGCGAAGCGAAACCGCGGCGGCAATTTATTTTAATTTACATTTGGAACTCAACGCTACTTTTATGCGTTATGTTGAGTTTGAGGTCTGGCGCCCTACGAGACAGTAAACACATGCAGCCATTTTCGAAATTCTAACTAAAAGTAGAAACTCATTTTTTAATCCACGACTTCCGTGCCGTTGCCGTCCTGACTGCTTAAAGTCCCTTATATCATAGTAGGCGGCGGAGCAGGGCGGGGCCCGGGCAGGGGGCTGTAGCTTCCCCCCCCCCCTAAACAAAAATCTTGGGGGCCTCATCCTCCCACGTGTTTTGGTGGCGAAAATATCGTTAGCTCAGCGTAAAAATTGGTAAGATTTTAGTCTCGCGCTTGGCGAAATAATATCTTTTAACCTATTTTTGAACAGCTTCGGGGTTAGGTTTTCATTAACTCCCCGACATTTTCCTGTTCTCAAAGACAAGTCCAAAAAGGATCCGAAAAGGTCAAGCCGATAATAACCTGGGAACGAGTTCTTAAAATCTACTATGGCAGGACAACATATGGAAGTAATAGTGGGCACCTATGAACAAGTTTTGGTCGGATTTAACGTTGTTGTCGGAGAAGAAGAGCTCGAGGTAACTTTCTCATGCCTAAAATTTAACAGAGAGAAGATCTCTTAAATTACAAGAGAATTCTTTTTGTGTTCATCTCCGAGCAGTACAGGTTAAAACCGATCTTCGCGGAGAAAGAGCATGCGAGTTGTATCAAAAGTGCCGCTAACAATGGCCAGTTTCTCGCTACTGGAAGCTCAGATGAAACAATAAGGTGAGAAAATACCATAGTGAATGTTCAAATGTAAAGAGGGAGAAATATCAGAGATAGATCAGAAATAAGTTCGAAGACCTCTTTGTTCCTCGTGCCCTATTTCATGATGTAGCAACTCAGAGGAGAAACTGCTAATCACCCCTACGAGGTCAACAATGGAACAACAACACCTGATACACCATACTTACCCAGAAAATATTAGGGAAAGATGAACAATTTTGTAACCGTGTTGAAAATCAAGTAAAATATAGAAAATTAGCCAGTGAGGGCGAGGACATCTTTCAGAAATTCACTCCTTTTTCATCCTAACTGCTAGACTTGTAAAAATTGTGTGTTGATATCTCAACATGCACCGCAAAAGGGTAAACAATTATTCCACCACTGTATATACTGATTTAGGTTATACAACATTAAAGATCACAGAGAGCTTGGTGCCTTAATGCAGCATGAGGGTATGTGTAAATTATTAGAAGCATTTATGTGGTTTTCAATAATTACTAGCTCCCAGTCAAACCACCATCCTTAAGGTTTTGTATATTGTCACAGCAATTATGGACTGCTCCCCCTCCCTGCTACTTTTGAAACTTTTGTTGTAATACATTGCAGTTCCCTTTGCTCAGCTGTAGGTTCTGGTTGGAACTTGTTTTTTGTTCAGGGTTGTCAAAATAAACCAGTATCCCACCACTTTCCATCATTTACTCTGAATAATGCACCAGCTCCTCTGAATGCGTGTGGCTCCCACAACCCTTGCCTATACCTTTGACCCCTGGTGCTGCTTACTTTCTATCACAGTCCAGTGCCCATTATAATAATTATGATCTGTATTTTTCTATTTCCAATTCTTAGTGCTCTTTTGGTTTATCTAGGCACAATAACATGTTTGACATTTCATGACAGTACTCATATGCTAAGTGCTAGTGAGGACAATACAATTTGTGTTTGGGAATGTCGTACATGGGAATGCCTTAAAACATTGAAAGGTCACAGGTACTGTACATTGTGTAAGGCCATGATAATTCTAAATTTTGTAAATAATTGTTAAGTGACAAAACTGTGTGATAAATATAAAAAATGAACATAAGTCAAAGGGAAAAGGTTATTTATAACCTTTCTGAAGACCTGGATAAATTCATTTTTCTTTTTTTCTCATGAATGTGTAATACGATAGGAAAATACTGAGTTCCCCATGATAAATTTAAGTCCAGGCCTTCGTAGTCTGTGGACTTACCACTTAGCTACAGTGAACTTGATGTACAGACCTGAATGATAGCTTTCATTAGCAACCAAGCTCAAAATTTGCTATTTTTCTTGTTCTGTTTTCTTTTCCAAACCTTTCCTAAAGAACAGTCAATTCTGAAACTCTAAGGGCCAGGGCTCAACACTAACAGTAGCTAACTAGCCACAGACTAGTAGAAATTCAGTTTTGGCTAGTGGTTCTTTATTTCCATTTGCCAGTTTGGCATAATTTATCCTCATTAGCCATGATAGCTCTGTAGCAAAGCATGGTACAACTGTAAAGCAATGATTAATTGTGATTAGTATATACTTTTCCAAGGGGTCATGTAAATTCAGTTTCTGTGCATCCATCTGGAAGACTGGCACTCTCTGTTTCAAAAGACAAAACATTAAGGTACTGTATTTAACACTTTGTTTGGCTTATGAATTGCATCAAGATAAAAGCCACCTCTAAGTATACCAGTAGCTTTCAAGCAAGTCTACCAAGCTTTGGTAAGCTTTTGGTATCTCCAAAGCAACTTTCCTTTCTATCTTTTTAATTCAACCATTTCTCAAGTAAAGAGTCAAGGAAACATTACTAGAGATAAACAAATTTGTTATCATATTCCTTTGGTGCTGCTGATTTCATTTCAATCTGAATTTCAACTGGAAAACAGCCTTAGCCAATATTTTGATAAGACTGCTCAGTTTATTTAAACTAAAATATTGTACACCACTTTCTACTGATTAAACTACCTGAGTGTATAGTTTTTTTCATATTATGCATAGAGCTTCACCTTTTTTGGCATTTCACCTTTCCTAAAGATAATTTTATTCAAGCAAATTATGTTTTTCCAAACAGAACATGGAATCTTGTGACTGGAAAATCAGCATATGTTACCAATATCAAAGAAGGTAGGTTATATCTTATTCTTGTATTAGAACTCTACTTTCCCTTACTCTGTTAGTTACTTCAGGTGTATATATTTTTGTTTATTTATTTGTTTGTTTCATTTGACCCTAGCTGCCCTACTAGTTACTCTACTTTCCCTTACTCTGTTAGTTACTTGAGGTGTATATATTTTTGTTTATTTATTTGTTTGTTTCATTTGACCCTAGCTGCCCTACTAGTTACTCTACTTTCCCTTACTCTGTTAGTTACTTCAGGTGTATATATTTTTGTTTATTTATTTGTTTGTTTCATTTGACCCTAGCTGCCCTACTAGTTACTCTACTTTCCCTTACTCTGTTAGTTACTTGAGGTGTATATATTTTTGTTTATTTATTTGTTTGTTTCATTTGACCCTAGCTGCCCTACTAGTTACTCTACTTTCCGTTACTCTGTTAGTTACTTGAGGTGTATATATTTTTGTTTATTTATTTGTTTGTTTCATTTGACCCTAGCTGCCCTACTAGTTACTCTACTTTCCCTTACTCTGTTAGTTACTTGAGGTGTATATATTTTTGTTTATTTATTTGTTTGTTTCATTTGACCCTAGCTGCCCTACTAGTTACTCTACTTTCCGTTACTCTGTTAGTTACTTGAGGTGTATATATTTTTGTTTATTTATTTGTTTGTTTCATTTGACCCTAGCTGCCCTACTAGTTACTCTACTTTCCGTTACTCTGTTAGTTACTTGAGGTGTATATATTTTTGTTTATTTATTTGTTTGTTTCATTTGACCCTAGCTGCCCTACTAGTTACTCTACTTTCCGTTACTCTGTTAGTTACTTGAGGTGTATATATTTTTGTTTATTTATTTGTTTGTTTCATTTGACCCTAGCTGCCCTACTAGTTACTCTACTTTCCGTTACTCTGTTAGTTACTTGAGGTGTATATATTTTTGTTTATTTATTTGTTTGTTTCATTTGACCCTAGCTGCCCTACTAGTTAAGTGGTCCCCTGCAGGGGACAGCTATGCTGTGGCCATTGGAACAAAAGTAGTTGTTTACAAACTTGCTGTAAGTACACTCAGATGCTAAATATAGTTTGCAGTTCATTCAGGAAGCAACAAGCATGCATGTTTATTCAGACGCGGAAAGAAACTTTTGGATTTTGAAATGTGGTAAAGGCAGCAGTGATGAACACTCTAGTATTATTTAATATTGAATTGCTTCTATGCTATTTAATTATTTGGCCTAGTTTTTGAATGAGTTCCCAAAGCTCACTAGTCCTTTTTACAGTTGTGGGCTTGGTGGTCAAGCCTTTGAACAGGAGTGAGGCTTGGGGTGACCTTGTTATGATAGAGATGTTGCTGCTTTTCAAATGCAAATTACTTTGTTATCATGCTAACTAGATACAGGTCTCTATCACAACAGGGTCACCCTTAGCCTCACTCCTGTTCAAAGGCTTGGCCACCAAGCCCACAACTGTAAAAGGGACTATTGGTATTATGTCCTACCACAAAGTTGGAAACTGGCTCCGATTTAAATATCTTTGATTTTTCTGTGTTCCATTCTCATGAAAAATTTTGAACATTTTTCTTTACTTTGATCATATTTAGACGGCTGCCTTGTCCTTTACAATGGAGTTCTCCAGATATGTATTGGCTTTGGAGTTTCTATCGGTAAGAGAACAACATTTTGATGTGTTTGTAATGGCAGTTACATTATGTTCATCTTAAAGATCTGTAATGTACTTATTTCTGTGTGTTTTTTTTTTCCAACCACCTTAGGAAAATATCCTTGCTGCCGGTGGAGAATTTGAAGGGATAAGAATATTAGATATTGAAAGGGAAGAGTGTCTCCAGATAGTGAAAGGACATGAAAACAGGTGGGGAACTTAAATTATCCATGGAAAGAAAGAAAGGCAGGAAGAAAGACCATAACAATCTTGTCTGAGCAGTAGTTTCTGTTTTTAGGCTTAAGCCTTGTAACCCTGTTTCTTAACATTTGGGACCTGGGAGCTCTTTTTCATGATTGTCAATAACTATCCTTTTCTATGTTGTTCAATACTGGAAATTTAATGTTTCTTTCAGGCAGTCTTCAAAATTTGGTCATTTCTTATATTTCCTTTAAGTTTCTGCAAATGGTGAATTAAAATTGTAGGGGGAGTTAACTTGAAATTCATTTTTCTTTTTATTTGTTTAGTTCTGCACCAGGCAGTACCCTTTTTGCTTAAAATACCCTCCTCTTGACTCACTGTGTATAACCCAGGAAGTCTCTTCAAGAAGTGATTCTTTTTCAACTCCTCCGCATGAGTATGATTCTTCATCCACGTCACAGATGACCAAAATTATCTCCTCTTGGTTGTTTAACTGATTTAAATCAATTTAACAACCAAGAGGAGATAATTTTAAATTACTACCACGTTTCCCTTAAATTGCGTCTAAGGAAAGGTATAGAATTGCTAACGGAGTCTTTTTGATCAAGGATTGAACTAGGTACTACAATACCTGTGATAGCGCAGTAAATGTAATAATTTTTTAATTGGCGTCTTTCTAGGGTAAAAGATCTTTGCATGACAGACGATTTGCTGAAAGAGGAAACTGGGCGTTTGTTGTTGTTTTCTACATCATCCGATGGAGATTTAAGAGGCTGGACTTTCAACCCTAAGAACGTAAGAAGTGACCTTCTTTCAAGTGAATCTTAAAATCTCGTATATCCAATTGACTTTTTTTTTTCTCGCCATTTGTAAGTTTGAAGAAGATGCTAAGCTTGTAGCGAGATACCAAGTGCCTGGAAGACCGACATGCTTAACGGTCGTGGGCAGGCGATCGGTACCTGCTGCAGCAAAACCTGAGCTCGAGAAAAACGCTGTGGAGTCCGACCAACCTTTGAAGGATAAGAAGAAAATAGAGAAAGGAAAGAGTGAAAGAAGAACCACAAGTGTTTCAGGTATTTTGGTTCTTTGGCAAATCATAAGTAAGCGTTGAAGTTTTTAGAACAACCCGTAGCAGCTATTCTGAGACGATACCTTAAGACTAAAAACAAGTTTTTGAATAACACAGTTAGGATTCTCTTGGTACACTTTGCTAGATTTTCAAGACTGGCCCAACCCAGATTTTAAGTATGAAAAATACAGATTGTCGTTATTGTTGTTGTTATATATATATATGTAAATGTAAAAATGTCAAAAACCTTATCTTTGAATCGGAGAGTGCTCTACAATCATATGGAGCTTTGTAAACAATTATTTAGGAAAATAAATATATTTTTTTACTCTTTAGCCGACGAACCCAAAAAGAAAAAGAACAGAACAAAAAAAAAGAGAAAGTCCGCTAAGAAACGAGGGGATTCCAGTCTTAAAGTGACAGAACGAATGAGCGCCACTAAGGAACAAACTAAAGATGAAAGTGACTTGACGGAAGGAACTGAAAACGGACAAAACGACGATAGTAATGCTAGTGAGGAAGACGAATGAAAACAAAGAAAAGCGTCGAACCCACTTTACATTGACATACTCCCAGAGAAGCTTTGGATTCAGTAAAAGGCCGTGGACAAACACTTCTGCCCCTTATTGGTTCAGCTTACGATAAGTCCACATGGTAGTCCGGTTCAGATAAAGGGAGAGTGACTTTAAATTACGTGTTCAAGCGCGGAAACGTGCATGCAAGAGATTCGCCTTCTGTACGTCTCTCTGCGCTGCTGCCCTGGCTCACCTGTCTGAGTTCCTGTTTTCGAGGATGAGTCTGTATTGAGCTGAAAAGACTTTGACGCTCAGCCTATCAAAAAAGTACGATTAAGTGTGGTTTATATTTACTCAGTAAGCTCTCTAACCATTATGTAATAAGATCACTCTGAAGGGTGAAAAACTGAAATCCACTATGGTTAAGTCAAACGTTAAATATATAAAGGCAGGCGGGTAACGAAGATCAGCAAGAAGAGTAGCGCTTTAATTGATGGCTTGACCAGGTGCGTTTAGTGTTGTTCGTCCGTCATTCAAGGAAATGCCTTGTTCTATACTAAGCAGTGACTTATTGAAATGGAGATTTGCACCATGACTAGCTTAGCTTCGTGATAGAAACGAATAAACAAGCGTGCGTAGTAAGAGAGATTGTTCTCATAATGATATAATCGCCAAGGGGCTTTATCAACCGCGCAAGGAGAATGACAAGAAGCAAGTGTCATCTTTAGTCGCTTCGTGGTTCGCGTGAAATAGTTTTCCCACATTTGTTGTATGAAGATTACAAATAAATCAGTTTTCCCATATGTCATGTGGTATGAGATGCAGCGAACTAAACACCGATACAGTAATACTATTGCAGATCTCTGTTTCAACTTTGGACAGAAAATTGTTTTACAAAGTAAATTTTTTCAGACTGTCGTTCTTTCTTCCTCCTCGTCTATGAATCTCGTCTCTGAATCTCATTACTGAAGATCGTAACCTGTCAAGTATTTCTTATAGCCTGTTCGAGAGTCTTGGTCAGGGGAGAAAAGTGACATAGCGAAAGACGTTTAGCAGTTGTTAGGGGAAACGGAAATTCGCCTTCCCCACTTCTTTTCTTTTCTATACTAGATGAGAAGCTTTAACGGGTTGAGTTTCTTGCCCGGCATAAGTTGGTCGCCCTCTTTCCTGTTCCAAGCGGTAGCTATAGTTTCCCTTTTAGACCCCTTCATAAAGTACCAGAGCCCAATCAACTCAATAGTGTCCAAAGCGCAGGAATAGCGCTAGATATAGCATAGACTTCAAATGCTGTGCAACCCGGGAGGCCCAAAGGTTTCTCTTTCTTTTACCGAAACGAAAAAATTATCTGCAAACGAAAACGACATTGTGACGGTTACGTGGTCTCATAACAACTCGCCTAATCCCTAATCATACCATTTCTCTCCTTCCTTCCTTCCTACCTAATATTCCGATCCCTCAAACTTATTTTCCCAGAGTTCTTTGGTTCGTTTTCCTTGACGTGGCGTTCAAACCCAGACTCTTTTTGGTAGCCGCTGTTCTCTGACGTCCGCCATTATTGATATTTGGGGTAGATTCCGGTTACTATCAGGTGAATCATAGGCCATCTCGTCCTTTATGTAGCTGCTCTTGAGAAATATGGCATCCAGAAGGAATCATCTGTTATTTCTGTTTATTATTTTGAGCTTGGAGGCTATCACAGGGGATGAACATACGCATAAAGTACGTCAATATTGTTTATGTTTCAATGTTGATCTTTTCGCTTATATCCAACCACAGTTATTGCTATCTTTTCCATTCTGTTAATGTAAAGTATTACTGAGCTACTTCTCAACGTGTAAATTATTTTTAAGGGATGATTTTTCTTTTGTTAATGAGATCGATCTTATCTTCTGCTGTGGGAATATGCAATCGCTTACGAACGATTCAAATTTATGAGAAATTGACACATCAGCACACGAAGCCGTGTCTAGATATGCGTTGCATTTATCGTTGTTACGTTGGAAACAACCCATTCTAGCTAAGTAATGTGAATTAAAAACCTTTTTTGCAATACTTAACTCCATTTTACGAATACTGTAACTTTTGTGGAACATTGTTTGTTTACGGTCATATCCGTGCGATCTTCCTCTTGTTATTTGACTGTGTCGGTCTTCATATTTTGTCGTCTTTTGAACTGTTGTAATTATTACGATGCTATCAAAAGTTAAGGCTTAGTTTCAATCTCTCTATAACTTTGTGAAGGGTTTGACGAAACTTTAAAATCTTAATTAAGTGTACCTGTTAACTTAATGGTGTGAACAAATGATCTGTTCACTTGTCGCGAATTTACTTTTATATACCAAAATGAGAGAAAGGAATGCAGCACATAGCTTCTGAGTTTTTGCCCTCTTTAATTTAGACTGATATTTTTGCAACAGACTGAATGATAAGAGTAATTATAACATAACCAAAGTAAAGTGCGTGCTCTGATTGGTCAATTTAGCACCCCCCATTTGCCCATGGGTGTACGCTGCTGACGTGAGCATATGCAAAGACTAGTTTTCCACATGCGCTTGTTTTTTTCTGGTCACGTAAGATTTGTTAAATAAAAGGGAACTCTTTAGCTACAATGTGTCAATGTTATGTTATAAAACAAATGGTAAACACCACAGTGTACACTATTGAGTTATGGATGCACTTGGGAGGTTTGCTAAGCACTCAAGAAGCTAGAGTCGCTCTTGGCTATCGCCTCATACGACTCTTACACTTCTTTCGTGCTTAGCAAGCTCCTGCATGCATCTATAACTCAATAGTGTATGCTGTGGTGTTTACCATTTGTTAAGGAGTATGCATTGCAAGATTTTGTGCTTACTGACTGGGTGGGAGCGCTACATGGGAAAATCTTTGGTACCAGACCACGACAACAAGACTTTTCTGTGCTCGGTCCTTAGGTCATGCCTTTGAGCCAGACATTTTCCCTACCAGCTTGACCTAACTTAGGTGATAAGCATTTCATGATATGACTGCCGCACTGTTTCTTCCTTTCCTCTTGTGTTTTGTACCTTAAGGGCTGTCATGTAAAGGTTTTTCATAGTCCTGCTTGCACCATTGCTTGTCGGGATTTTTGCACTGTGATTTTTTATAAAAGTGCTGTGACTGGTCAGGTCATATGATAGATGAGGATATGGCTCAGGATTTAGGATCATACGTAGTGAGGTTTACTCCTGAAGTTGATGAATGCAGTAAATTTGAAGGTCTCTGAATTTCTTCAAGAACATTATTTGCAGTAAAAGATAGTCTATAAGATTTTAACTAAAATTTAGTTAGCTTGTGAACAAAACTATTACTTGAAATTGGCCATTGAAATTGGTGTTCAGTTCATTTGTAAATTACTTATAGTTTTGAATAATGATGTACTGCTCTGCTAGTTGGTATTTCTGTTGCAGTAGGATGTGTGGAAAATGACAAATTAAAATACTACAGGACTGTAATGCACAGCAGTATACATGGGGAAGCCACTTGCATTACAGTGCATTTTTTGCTGTGTTTTCCAATTGCAGTATGATGATGGGGAGGAGGTAGTGCTTTGGATGAACACAGTTGGTCCATACCACAACAGACAGGAAACATACACATATTTCTCGCTTCCATTTTGTAAAGGAACCAAGAAGGACATCAGTCATTATCATGAGACACTGGGTGAAGCAATTCAAGGAGTTGAGCTTGATTTCAGTGGAATTGATATTTCTTTTAAAGGTATGGTTTTGGATTTATTCAGTTTTGATTAGAACTCTTCCCTAGTAATTGTTTGGAACAGGAATTACTGTGAAATGAATGAAACTAGAGTGTGTGCTTGCAAGTTTTCCACACTAGTTTGTTGAACAGTACTACAGTGTGCTGCTGAGTGAAACAAACTTTAGAAAAATTATTTCAAACTAGTCTAATTTGTGTTTTGTTTTTTTACAGACTTAAATGATATTTGTTGATCAAATAAAAACATTTCAAACTGTTTGAAAACACTTTAATTAGTTATTCATGATTTGTCTAAACCCATGTAAACAATACTTAATCACACCTAAACAAAAACAAAAAAACAGAAGTTAATGCAAAGAAAAATTAGAACTTGCTCTTTTATCCCACTGCTTCCAACTACCACCTGTACTTTATTATTACTGTACTAATTCTTGAGCTTTACCTTTTTTTTTTTTGGTAGTCAATGTACCACAATTAGAGTATTGTACTTTGGACCTGAGTCAGGATAATCATGATGCATTGGTGTATGCTGTAAAGAATCATTATTGGTATCAAATGTATATAGGTAGGTTTGCATATCATACTCCCTAGTCTTGCTTTTATTCTCAGTGATCACCCATGATGCTTGTGAGTTGCATCTAATAGAAAGTTTACAGGGCTCCAAAGGAGTAATTAAATTTATTTTTCTTTATTTGTTTTCTTGCAGATGATTTGCCAATTTGGGGTAAGTATAGCAGTTTGAAATACTGTTGACCAGCATTATCCTGAAACAAACTTTTCTTTCTTTGGTTCAACTTTCTGCAAGAGATTTCCCAGGAGTACAGCTGTAGATGTTGATAATTTTCCATATATCGTCTGGAAAAGGTCACCAATAATACTTAACCAAAATTTTAAATAGTCTTATTTTTAAAAAAGTAGAATATCAGTAAGAAATATACTCAACATGCCGCTACATACACATAAAGTAATGTTCAAGGAATTCTTACCCTTGGTCTATTAGTTTGTTGTCCTGATAGATTTTTACAGAATAAAAAATGCATGTTCATTGTGACATGGTATCTCTTGCCTCCATTCTCTCCAGGAATTGTTGGGGAAATTGGTGAAAGTAAAGATGAGTTCTATATTTGGACACACAAGAAGCTTGATATTGCCTACAATGGCTACCAGATTGTAGATGTGAGCTTAACAAGTGAATCCAAAGCAAAACTTGTTCCTAACTCAAAACTAAGCTTCACTTATGAGGTAAATAACTTTTATTAATTCAATTATAGTTAATTGAATTATATTAATGCACTGTCGTAAAACTAATGTAGTTTTAAAGTTGTCACACAACCGAGGTGTTCTGTGGAGATGGGAATAGAAAAAGTAAATTATGAACATTACGTGTATGTTAATGTACATGTAAATTATGTGGCCTCTAATTATGCAGGCTGCTACTTCTCAATTTCCTCTTGTACACTTCCAGTCTTAGTGCAAGAATAAAGGTTTGTAAAAGATTTTGAAAACAAGGTGAAGTTAGTTTCTGATATTTTAATACTTAACTACAGTATTCTGTTGTTTTGTAGGTAAAGTGGACAGAATCCAAGACACCTTTTGAAAAGAGATATGAAAAATACCTTGATCCCAGTTTCTTCCAGCACCGAGTAAGACTCCTTGCATACTCTGACATTTGATAGTCATGTAAAATGAATTTTTAATTTTACTCATAGTCAAATTGCTGTTTATTTTTAGATCCATTGGTTTTCAATCTTTAATTCCTTTATGATGGTAATTTTCCTGGTTGGTCTTGTCTCCATGATTCTGATGAGAACTTTGAGGAAAGATTATGCAAGATACAGCAAAGATGATGATCTTGATGACATGGTAAGAATGTCGCTCTGTTGGTAATGTATTGGTCTCTTGCAACAGTGTTTGGGAGGATTGAGTAGGGTATAGAAGAACACGCCAATTTAATGGAAGTTGTGTGTGTTAAAATAAAAACCTACTTGTAATTGCATGTGTTGTGCTTGTGGTTGTCCAGGAAAGAGACCTCGGAGATGAATATGGATGGAAGCAGGTTCATGGAGATGTGTTCAGGCCTGCCTCGCATCGAGTGATGTTCACTAGCTTAATTGGCACAGGATATCACCTCTCTAGTGTTGCTGCCTTTGTCATCATGTTCACCATCATGGGAGACCTGTATACCACGTAAGCTATGTTAATTTACATATAATCAGACAATGCATGGGCAAAATCAAGAAAAAGATGATTTTTGGTTCCCTTTGGTTTGGCTCATTGTCAACAAGGAAACTAGCATAGTTCACTTAAAAATTTTTACCATGGCAAGTGTTTGGAAGGGTTCTAGTATAGTTGTGGAGTGAAGTTTAAGTAACTTGCCGCTCAGTGGTAGAGCAAATTTGGACTTCAAAATCCCAAGTGCTCGTGTTTGCTTCCTTGTGAAGGACTCGTTTTTTTCTTCTGACCTACCCTTGTTGCAAAAAAATAAGGCCATTCTTCACACATGTAAAAGTTTTTTCCCTTGGCAAATTCCCATTCCAACTAAATGGAGACTTTGTGAGGATGATTTTTTGCTAGAAATTGCTAAAGGCCTTAAGGGGAATTTTACGTAAACAAGTTTTATGTTACAATGTAACTTATGTGTAGAATTTTGAATTTTTCCAGGCGTGGATCCATTCTTAGCACTACAATATTTGTCTATGCAGCAACAGCCCCGGTTAATGGATTTATGGGAGGCAGTCTTTACGCCAGGCAAGGAGGTCTGTATGACAAGTTAGATGTCTCACCTAGATAACATAATGACTGTTAAGTTTTGTTGAAATAAGTGGAACAACATATATATGTATTGTTTTGCCACAGGGAGACAATGGATAAAACAAATGGTGCTGAGTGCTGTTTTGTTCCCTCTCCTGGTTTGCGGCACAGCTTTTATGATTAATTTCATTGCCATTTATTATCATGCATCTAGAGCCATCCCATTTGCTACAATGGTGAGTTGAAAAAATTTCACTTGGAAGTATTTGTGACGTAAATGGCTAATTTTTACAACAGCATTCCAAGCAAGTAATAGCATGGCAAATTACACACCTAAAAGGGAAATAGGTTTTTTTTTAATTAATTTAATTTTCTACTACATTTTATATAATTTTATTTATATAATTTTATAATTTTGGATATATTTCTTTTGTTATTCAATTGTAGAAATTGAACAGGCTTGCTTGTAAATAAGTTTTATTCTCAAAAGTGTGATGTAAGTTCATCATCAGCAAACAAGATCTGTATGAATGCCTTATCTATTCCTCTAGCCTTTTTAAAACTTGCTAGTTTATAAATTATTTGTATAAATCTGCAAGCCACATATTTTCTACCTGTTCAACGGTGTTTTTTTGCTCCATCATCAGCCTATTTCAGGCTGTTAGTCATGACAGACAAGTGAAATAGTGGTTCAAACAACTCTTTACAGTTGTCAGGGAAACAATAAACAGAGCATTGCTCAGGTTTTTTTTTTTTTTTTTTGTTACATTTGTAGTTTTTTAGTTCTTGTTGGTTTATGATTTGTAGGTTGCTGTAACAAGCATTGTCATCTTTGTGATTCTGCCATTAACCTTGGTGGGAACTGTGTTGGGGAGAAATTTGTATGGTGCTCCAAATGTTCCTTGTAGAGTGAACACAGTTCCCAGACCTATTCCAGAGAAGAAATGGTGAGATATTACAATGTAGTATTCCCTTAGAGAGTCACCCCGTCCACTCTCCGCATTGAAGAGAGAAACTTACTTGTAGTTGCAACAGAAGCAAAAAGCAAAAACCCAACAGGAACTAGCTGGTGTGTAATACATATTGCCAGACATAATTATCTGTATTGCTGAGAAGCAGGTGTCTTATCAAGGCAATATTCCTTGGTTGTCAATTTTCTGAATTCTCATTAAAGTGAAAGTTGTAATTGTTTTTTGGTTTCTTTTAGGTTCATGGAGCCTCTGGTGATCATAATTCTTGGGGGAGTTTTACCATTTGGATCAATATTCATTGAAATGTTAGTCACTGAGCTTGCACTAAAATTTCACACATAGATTAATGCATGTATTTCGACGCATTACGGTAAAGTCCAGGCTGAAGCCTCGGCCAGGATCCATTAGCATGTTAGACAAGTTTCTCTCACATTACCATCCTAGTAGCCTGAGAGAGGCTGACTTGCCTTTCCAGTGGAAGAAGCGGTACTCTTCAAGGGATGAACAGTTGGCCATCATTCCCAATACTCGCATAACCAGACGTGATATTGCAAGGAGAATGTCAGTCTTTGGAATGAAAGGGTTAGCTCCTACGTATAGAGGAAAGGGGATTTGTAGGCGTTGAACTCCAAGAGACACCAAGATCTGTGGCTCCAACAAATCAGGGCTTTCACACTAGACTGATATAATTTTGGCTTCTTTTGTATGTAATTAATTTCTTTTGTGTTTTTACCTGTAGGTACTTCATATTTACGTCCTTCTGGGCATACAAGATTTACTACGTGTTTGGATTTATGTTTCTGGTGTTTGTGATTCTGGCCATTGTAACAGTCTGTGTTACTATCGTGTGCACTTATTTCCTTTTAAACGCTGAAGATTACAGATGGCAGTGGACAGCGTTTTTGTCCGCTGCCTCCACGGCTGGTTACGTTTACCTTTACTCGTTATATTACTTCTTCTTCAAGACCAAGTAAGCAACAAGTTGTTGTTGTTATTGTTGTTTGTGTGTGTGTTTTAAATCCTATTCCCACTTCGTCATTTGCATACTCGAGATCGTGAAAAGATGAAAACCATTCACTTTGCGAAATAATCCTGCTTTTGTTGTGATTTTCAGAATGTACGGCTTATTCCAGACAACGTTTTACTTTGGTTACATGGCTCTCTTCAGTATTGGTCTCGGGATCATGTGCGGTAAGCTTTTTTCGTGACTGCTAGCATTAAAACGTATTGATATTGTTAGGAGAAGTTACATGTTTATCACTTTTGGTAAATACAATTTTTCTCTGTGTTCAACAGGCACATTTGGGTATGCCGGGGCAAGTGCTTTCGTCAAGAAGATTTATTCTACGGTAAAAATAGATTGACGAGAAGGAAACCTATCAGAAATGTCGCTCTTGGTCCGATGGCTGTTTTTAAAACAATACCGAACAATAATCTTTGTATTTATAGGTATAAAAAAGTTTCGTGCGTATGTTGAAACGCGTCGAGCAAAGAGATACTATCGCTCCGTTCTCAAATTTCCTTTAAAACTGCGCATGATAGGAATTGTTCAACTTGAACTAGTGCTAGACTTCCTTGAAGTTGTTCAAACCTTCCTTGAGCAGACATTCTCGGAACAGGATGACTTTGTGGTTTAAGACTTAAAAGGGTACACAGCTGGGTGTGGGTCGTTAAGACAACTGAAAAACACTGGAAACCTGTAATAAGTCAACAGAATGGGGAAATCAGTCCATCAGTTTCATATATGAAGAAACAGCGAAATTCATCTATTTTGCCAGGCAAATGGGGTTGACAACATTTTTTTGTTTTATTGGTGCATTTTAAAATAGACTTATAGAGGTAAACCTATTCCCATAACGAGTCGAACCCTCAAGGAAGGTTCGCTTGTAGAGTTCGTCCAAGGGGGTCCACTAGCGTCAGGCTAGAGTCAGACAACATTAACACTTGGCACATGACGACTTAAAAGGTAATCTTAGCAGTGTGCACGTGGCGACACAATTTTCCTTCAGTTTTTAACGAATGGTAAACACCACAGCGTATGCTATTGAGTTATGGATGCACGCGGGAGGTTGCTAAGCACGAAAGAAGCGTAAGAGTCGCTCGAGGCGATAGCCGAGAGCGACTCTAGCTTCTTGAGTGCTTAGCAAACCTCCCAGGTGCATCCATAACTCAATAGTGTACGCTGTGGTGTTTACCATTTGTTTTATAACGTAACATTGATACATTGTAGCTAAAGAGTTCCCTTTTATGTAACAAATCTTACGTGACCAGAAAAAACAAGCGCGCGCGGAAAAAATAGTCTTTGCATTTGCTCATGTCAGCAGCGTACACCCATGGGCAAATGGGGGACGCTAAATTGACCAATCAGAGCGCGCGCTTTACTTTGGTTATGTTTTTAAATCTGTTATGTCCCAATTGAGTAAAGGTCTGAGAGGCAGTGTGCAGCTTTTTAGGCTAATGAACGAGGGAGCTTTTAATGAAACTATCGTTGTACGGTAAATAACTCTAAACGGTATTGGTTGTCATCCAAGCGAAAAAACTGACTCGAACAGATGCTGATATTGAATTTGTTGAGCGAGAACTTGTCGAAACGGTCGTGGTATCAAATGAAATAAAAAGGCGTCTTGCACCACAATTAGTTGTGCAATACACAAAGTTGTTGGTAGCGCTACGATAGTGCAGGAGAGAGGTTGGACTGTAGCGCTTGGCCTGCAATGTCCAGAAGTACAGTTATGGCACGGCTTTATCGGTATTCAAATTCTTTCTTTGTAAAAATAGATTTGTTGATGTTTCTTAGGTAAGTTTATAGCAGTGCGTGTTAATTGTTCCTTTTTATCTGTGGTATTCAAAGTAAGTGTTTGTTATGAGGAAGTCATTCACTCGCAAAATGTAGGGGTAGGGTAACATAATTATTTCCTCTTTTATCGTGGTCTGTTAGTTTGCTGATGGTGAAACCTCCAGGCATTGGAGAATATAGCTTATAGTTTGAGCGACATTTGTTCCCTCTAGACAAATTAAGCTGGCGTCTTAAAAAGTTACCAAGTTAAGGGTGACTAAATCACTGTACTATTTGTTTATGTACTTCAACAGAGTCGGAAAACAAGTTACGATTTCACATGCTCTTAATGTGAATTTGGCTACATTTAGAATAGATTTTACAACAGAATAACCTTTTGCGAATTTTAGAATACATCCGTCAGCTGTCCCTCTAAAGAACTCGTATGTATATTTTCCCGTGGAATATCGGAAGAAAGGTTAATATACTAAACTATTCGATTAAACAAAAGTATCCCAAGCTCATTATGGTTATCAGCGTATCTTATCGCAAAGTACTTCATAAATCTGATAAACGTTTATTGAAGTACTTAAACTCTTTCGCTACCTAGTACAGAAAAATGTGGCGAGAGTCGTAACATATAGTAGTCTTAATTCACAGTTTTAACAGACAACCAGTAAGACTCCACTACTTATGGTGATTTTTTAACGCGGGGTACTTACCCCTCCTCCCTAGGAGTTCCTCACTTTACCGCAGGGGTACCACCCCGTCCCTTCTCTCCCTCAGGGTAGCCTTGTTTACGTAATCGCATTTTATTTGCTATTAAGCAAAGTCACTAGCGACCGGTGACTGAAATTCCATAAAAGTAATAGGTCTTTCTGCCGAAGGATGTACCTATCAATAGCGAGAAGTTTTTTCTTTCTAAAACGAAATATGATAAATTAGGCTCAGATTGAGAAACTATCAACCTTTATTCAGATTGAGATTATCCGGTATTGAGTATGGGTAACTGAACAAAATCTTTAGTCGACGTAATATCTAAAGATATTTTAAAAGTCTTTCCAAGTAAGTTTGCTCACTTTAACACCAGTAAAATGTTCAAAATGCAGTTGTATCATTTGCATTTGCTGTCACTGATTTTTGCTGTGATTCGCTATATTTCAAAAGAAAGAGGAACAACGTTCTTCTTCATGTTACTTGAGCTAGCGGAAGAAAATCATCCATTTCCTGGTTGCAAGCCGTTTTCTACAGCCGCATCAATGAGTTTCATCACAGTCGTCACACCATGAGCTAATCATACTTCAGACCATGTGTTTGAGACAAAAAAAGCGCGGGTTGGATTTGGTTTACAATTCCCGTCAACAACGAATGAAATGTGAGAGAGCCTGGGCGAAACTGCCCGGTAATGTAATATAATTTGATCTACAAACCTCATGATGACGCGTAGAACGTGCTCGGCAGGTTTGGGTGGGTTGTAATAAAAGCTTGGACATATCCCTGGGAAGGGACATTTCCGTAACGTAGCAACCTCTCAAAAATTTCCCTCGGTTGCCTTTTATTCATAAAGAACGAAATAAAACATTGATTGTTGGGATGAAAACACTCAACACTTTTTTAAATATATAATTTCCTTGATTTTAAAATTATCAATGATGGTCGTTTCTGGATTTGTCTCAGCTTAGTCTAAACAAAGACAGGGGCCTGGGCCTGTAATGGTGATTCACTCGGATAAAATTACACAGAACGTTCCTTTGATAACTTCCTACTCTCCTGTGCCGGCCGGTTAGCAATAATCGAGTTGCAGCTAGCGACAAGTGCAAGTAGATTCCAACCCAGTTCCCCCTCTGTACTTCGTGTGTTAGTCCTCTCTGCAAGTGATATTCCCGCCCGCTATGCTAACTAAAAGTTTCTCGGCTAGACTGCATGCCGCGCGAGCGTAATTTTGCCTAACGAACGCGAAGTAGTTCTCCTGAGTAGTCCTGCTTGCAACTCGGGCTTTCAAACTACAGGAAGGCTAGAAAGCAAAAGACATTGCCCTGGTGAACAAACATTGCGGCCCGGTAAATGATCGTTAGCACCCTTGATAATAAACTATTCCACGGTAATCATTAACTGTAAGGTACCACTAGTTTTAGTCATTCTTGCAGTCTTGAGTTCGTAGCGGAATATTAATTGTTTTAAAATGTGAAATAAAAATGACCCACCGAGAAGAAAGGGAAAGCGGCTTGATCAATATAAGACGAGTTTCTCGCGAGTTGTCAGTCAAATGAACGCCACCAGCCGATACTCCTCGTATTTTCATTGGCTGCCATATCTTTTTTGTCCCAGGGGGGTCGAGACAATCAACACTTATTAAAATAACATTTATTAGCAAAAACCTTTGCTAGTATGGATAACAATATAAAAACGTTTGTGCATCTCCGTGCAAGCTTAGAAATATAGAGCACTTTCTTCCAAATTTGTAAATGTGAATCATCAAAGGTTTCTACAGACCATGCATAGATACCTTGCGATCATGGCATAAATCATTGATGAAGTGTAAACTTCTAAACTGTGGCCGTAAACAACCCTAACTGCTATTATCCTAGAATGTATCAAAACAGAAAAGAGCAATGGAAAAAATTTAAGAAAATATCTGTTTTTAAAAAGCGGTATTTTCTTCAGAAGTCGAAATTTAAAATTGATTTTTAAAACATTTTGTCATTATAATTGATGGTAGCACGCAACACAAGGAGATTCAATTTTTACAAAATCGTAATTAAACACTATTTAAATTTCAACTCTGGAAGCTTCTTGACAAGAGGATTGCCGCTAATTTAAAATTTAAAGATCATGAATATTCCAATTTCAGAACAGTCAGTGATGAAAGTTTATTATCTTTGAGCACTCATCGCTTCTCTCACTCGCATTCAATAAAGAGAGCAAAGTAAAAAAGAAATGTCAAATAAATTTCCGATCATAAATTGAAGTTTTAACACGTTCTGGGATAATAATAAAAAATGTACATATACATTAGCCATCGCGATAACTAATTTATACCAAAACAAAAGGGTTAACTTAAGCCAAAATGTTGCGACACGTGTACTTTCGCGCTCCAATAAGAAACATCCCTTTCCCACCGTTATTGAATTTAAGATCTCTTCAAATACACAGCCATTCAAATTTATTTTCTGTCTGCGTGCGGTTGAACTGGATGTTGTAATCGTCGCTCAGACAACGGATTTACTCGAATTTAAAAGCAAGCATTCACAAACGTTTTTGCCGAAATTTTCAATGACACTTCAAGTTTTCGTCACGCTAATCCACTAACGGTTTCGAAGTTTAAGTTTTGTTTTTTTTTTTAATTTTTTTATCCTGTTGTTTTCATTCCGCAAATTGCATTTTCAATGGGAGTCGATGACGCTTTTCTTGAAGCTGGAAAGAAGCCTGGCTTGGAAATATGGAGAATAGAGGTTAGTCGTAGCTATCTTAACGTTCAGCCGCAAATGATTTATAAATACATTTTTTTTTTTTTTGCTTGTTAAAAGTCATTTCTAAGATACATAAATGGATCTGCTGTGAACGTAATTTTCCAAGCGGCCTTATGATAACAGCCAGCGAATTTTCGATTCAAATCCGCTCGAGTCTAAACATCATACGACAACTAGTATCAAGTGCTAAATTATTTTCGGAAGCGAAATAATCTCAGTGCCATCACGATATGTATTCTATTTATTCGTATTTTATAAAACAGCTTTTAGTTATTTAAAATGGCCATCACTTCTGACCCTGACGCGCGAACAACGAACTGTAATTTTACGAGCTACTTCGTAATTTGAATCACAATTACCAGGAGATTCGTTTTCACGTGCTTTCAGTGCGTTGATATATAAAAACGACGAGTGGCAAGTATTCTTTTTCACACTGGCTCTAGCTAGATTAAAAAATAGGATTGCCACCAGGTTTTTCTTCCCAAAAAAACAATATCATGATGCCCAAAATAAGATTGTAGCCAAACAATAACAAAAGCTAATGACATTTTCTTTTTATGTGCTATTAGAAGCGGGTTCTTACAAAATCAGTACTCCAAAGATGAGCCGCTCAGGTTATGAAAAAATGCGCACAGGAAGTTTGTATATCAATTTGCACACGGCGCTGTTTGCATATTGCATTCAGAGTGTTGTTGTCGAGTAGTGGCTTTATCCTTACTTTAGTTGCCATGTATGAATGCTCAACAGGTGCTTGGACAAGAAGAGAGACTCGATATTCAGGTGTTAGGCACCAATGAACCACCTAGAGTTTGTTTATAATTCTTAAGACATAAAAACGGGCTACCTTTAATGTCTGGAACATTAAATATTTATGATTCTCATTACAAAAGAGGAGTGTTTTTCCCAACATGTCACAAATGATAGTTAAGTTACACCTTTGAACTGTTTCGAAGAAGAGCGTTGATTTTTGCCAAAAGCTATCGATCACCTTCCCTGTTATTGGTGTTATTGGTTCAACACGGCAATAACCCCAAGCTTAACTTTATATGGCGATTAAAATTAAGAAGGAACCCTGGGAAATCCTGTGGCTCAGTCAAATACTCAGGCTCTACATTTTTCTTTGCTGCATCCTCTCGCATTGAGCGTTCTGGATCGGGAAAATAGTTATAAAACTGAAACGCGAACACCGCCCAAGAGGTTCTCTTTAAATTGATATATGCAGTCGGAAGTAACCTGTCTACGGTGAATCTCGAAGTTTCTCTTAACATCTAGCTCTTGTTTTCAACCTGTGAAAGATTAACAAATATAAAACAGAGCAAGTTACGGGCCTGTAGCTTCACCCAGACAATAAGGCATTACGAAGGGTGGACACCTGTAATTATAATTTTGTCGTGTCAATAAGATATTTGCATCCCCAAGCAACCTTTCCTAGAAATTTTGCGAGCTACCAAGGCGTGTTTATTTCTCATCCACAATATCAGTAAAAATGTCGATTAGATAAACGGCTTTTACGTGTGTTTGACATCATTTCTTAATTTGACTATAAACTTGAACAATTTAGAAATATTATTGCTCTAAAACTGAGAGATGACGCTGTAAAGAGAATTATGAAGGCGTCCTCACTCGTGTTGTTCCCTTGCTCAGACTCCGGATCCAGACACGCGTATTTCACAATTTTACCCTCGTGTAGCCATGTAATAGGAAACGGCTGGAGAGTTCTCGAAATCGATATTTTATCGTACATTGTGTATAGAAACTTGTCCTGATGTCAACATAATTTCGAATGAGATTTCTAGAAAACGACAAATACTGTGTTTCCAGAGCACCAAATATGCGTTATCATCGTCTGGTAAGAAAAATAAGCAGGGATGAGGGTGAAAAAGGAATATAATTCAAAATTTCTTGTAAATATCTCCTCACCAAGTACCCTGCTTTAGATTCTGGTATTTTTTCTTTAACTCCTGATCTATTTTAGTTGGCGCTTCTCCACTCCCCCTCCAACTGTTCCCATCTTATAGCACGTGAGGTAGCATGGTCAAAGTCAAACTTAGTTGACCGTTTGATCAAGTCTTGATCATGAAACTACCATATGCGATGGTGGAAACGATATCGCTAGCTTCAAAAGGCCACTTTATGATTCTGTTTAACAAATGGTAAACACCACAGCGTACACTATTGAGTTATGGATGCACTTGGGAGGTTGCTAAGCACGAAAGAAGCGTAAGAGTCGCTCGAGGCGATAGCCGAGAGCGACTCTAGCTTCTTGAGTAATAACATAACATTGATACATTGTAGCTAAAGAGTTCCCTTTTATTTAACAAATCTTACGCGACCAGAAAAAACAAGCTCGCGCGGAAAAATAGTCTTTGCATTTGCTCACGTCAGCAGCGTACACCCATGGGCAAATGGGGGACGCTAAATTGACCAATCAGAGCGCGCGCTTTACTTTGGTTATGTTATATAATTATTTTGACCTTTTTCTCATAGAAACTAAAAGTTGTTGCTCAAGGTACTGAAACCTACGGCACCTTCTATGGAGGGGACTCTTACATCTGTCTATCGGTGAGTTGAGACCCTGCGTTGGCTGATAAAATCTTCTCCGATCTGACTCAGCAATCAAGCTTCTCGTAATTTTCTTAATATACCGCCATTTTATTCAACTCCCTATAAGTTGATTTTTAACAGTTTCTTTTGTACTCATGTTTATTTTGTTTAGACCAGAAAAGTTGAATCTCATTTAGAATGGGATATACATTTCTGGCTCGGCACTAAAACATCTCAGGTATTTTGGTTTCATTTGTTATTTTGGTTTATGACAATTCACGCATCATTTTGTTTTCTAAACATTAAGGAACCGCTGAAACGTATACATATTCAGTCTTGGCTGACGAAAGAACAATGTTTTCAGTTTTTAAGGCTCAATTTTTTTTTATTACATTTCCTTTTATAATATTTTTTCATTCAAATATCGTTATCAAAGCTCTGAACAAGGTTCGTTTTCATGGGGCCACCCCGTTCGTAGTTATCTACTCGAGTTCGCTGACTTGTTCAATGGTAGCTACGATCCGTATTTTTCTGCGGGAGATCACTCTGATACTTCGCCTTTCAGCTTTTTCTTTTTTTTTTTTTTTTCATTTTTTCCTTAATTTCCTTGTTATTTCTGGATTAAATTTCTGCTGTATAACGCCATTATGAGCCTATTACACTACACTCCTAACCATACCACACAGAATTAATAACTTTACAAGCTCTACGTAAACTCTGATTATTGTTTGGAGTTACAATTCTATCCCAGCGTGTTTAGTCTCAGTTTCTCGCAACACGGGGCAGGTAAATCGTGCGAGAAAAGCGCGGTTCCTGAGACCTGTTTTTTTTTATATACATACAGGACGAGCAAGGTGTTGCAGCTTATAAAACAGTAGAACTAGATGATCATCTGGGGGGCGGCCCAGTACAATACAGAGAGGTACAGAAACCTTGATATCAACACTCAGTGTAGTCAGTGTTGCGTATAAATTCATTTTTGTTCGAGAGGTACTGAAAGTGTCTGTCACGGAGGCCGCGTCCACATACATAGTCTGAGCTTAGGAATTGTCAGATCGGAAGAGGTCAAGCTGGTCTTCCGCGGATTTACTATTATAAGCCAACTTAGTAAAGTTTAAATTTCAATGTTGCATCTTTTCACGAAAGCTGTGTTTTTAACATTTGTGTAAACCGTAAGGCTAAATCATTTTCGTTCTGATTACCTCTAAAGGTTCAAGATCATGAATCAAGAAAATTTCTATCCTATTTTCCCAAGGGTATAAGGTAAGTTTACGATTGACCTGTCATCGAGGCAAATCCCAAAGCATTAGTTCTTTCCCTTTTAAGAAACAGTGCTTCATCAAAGGATGTTTGGAGTTCACAAAGGTATTAACAATTTTAAGTACCTAGCTAGGCCTCTGCCTCTCTAAGGAACTGCCGGCTCTGCCGACCACAATTAAGTCACGTGCATGAAAATTGCCTAAGTTTAAAGTTTCGAAGGAGAGTGAGGTTGGAAGCATGGTGACGTCACGCTGAATGACAGGCTCTCTTCTTGACTGACAGATACCTGGAAGGAGGTGTAGATTCTGGTTTCAGGAAAGTACAGCGCGGTGTGTACGAGAAAAGACTCTTTCAGATCAAGGGAAAGAGAAACGTGCGAGTGTCACAGGTCAGGGATAGAAATGTCTTTGTTTCCACCCAATTTAACCCCTTTTATTGTTGGTTATCCCTGCTGGGTTTTCTAAGTGTGATTGTGCATGCGAAGCCCTATCAACATGAATATTTGGTTAACTGTAGACGTAGACAAAGGTTATCATAGCAATTAAAAGGGAAAGTCTAGAAAAAAGATTATTTTGGTGATCACTCGTTGAACTAAGAGAGAAGTAAATTGTTTTTTCGTCACGTTATTTAGTCATAGCCTTAAAGAGTCATTTCTGTGTCGTTAACGTCTTTTCCGGAGATGGATCTTAAAATAAATGTCTCTGTTGTTTACATTTTAAAACGTAGGTGGAGATGCATTACACGTCATTAAATAAAGGAGATGTTTTTATTCTGGATGAAGGGATGACCATTCACTGCTGGAACGGATCACAATGCAGCAGAACAGATCGAATGAAGGTCACAATAGGAACAACCATTTTTTGTGCGTTCATGAAATTCACCTTCTTTGTTTTCATGCTGAATAATTAATAACCGCTAAATATTCATTTGCTTTTGTAAGGGAATTGAAGTAGCCAGACGCATAAGAGATGAGGAGAGAGGAGGAAAAGCCAAGCTTGTCATTATCGGTAAAATGCTAAAATGCACCACGCCTCCAGTTTTAATCAAATTGTATAAATCGTTAGTTATGTCGCCGCCAGAAAACGACGTCTTCAATTTGTGCTCATTTTTGTTGGAGAAGAACGTGAGGCCAACAAAAAGCCTAATATTTCTAACCTGAGCTTATGGCAATGTTCAAAGGAGACATTGATATTTCAAACCTCCTGTAAGGGTATTTTTTAACTGGTTTTACGCTCTGATTTCCCAGATGAAAACAAAGATCACCGGGACGAAAACAACTTTTTCCAAGCCCTCGGGTCACGTGGTGAAATAAAAGAAGCTTCTGAAGGAGGCGATGACGTAGCGTTTGAGAAGAACAGTCAGACAAGTGTCACATTGTACAGGTATCCTACCTTAAAACTTTTATTTCGATGATTTAAAAACAAGTTCGGATGAGGTGTCAAAAAACCTCTAAGCCAAGGAAGCGTACTAGCCCAACAGACTCAAATGGATTTGATAACATCTGAAAACAAGTAAGGCAAACTGACTCAAGCGCGGGAAAACACGGATGACGAAGTCTAGGGTCTAACTCTGATTGGCTGATAGGGTGGCGTGAATTCATCATCATCATCATCATCATCATCAATCCTTTTCATGCCTCGTGGCACATAGGGCCTTCGCAGAGCTTTTCCACTCCTCTCAATTGGTTGCTGCGGTCCGCACCCCCTCCCATGACCTCCAGTCTGCCTCTTGCCTTTCTTTCTCTACTGTACGTCTCCAAGTGGTTTTCGGTCTTCCCCTTCTCCTTTTACCCTCTGGCGCTCAGCTCATAGCAACACTGCAATCATCATTACGGTCTTTCTTAAGCATATGACCAATCATTTTCCATCTACGAGACATCACCTCCGCACTCAGTGGCTTCATGCCTGCCCTTTCCAGTAGCTCTTTGGTGCTGACATGGTCTTGCCATCGGATTCCGAGGATCCTTCGTAGGCACCTATTATGGGATACATTCATTGCTTTATCATCTCCTTTCTTCATCTTCCATGTCTCAGATCCATAGAGTAACACTGGCACTACTAGAGTTTTATACAGCCTCAGTTTTGTTTTCCTCAAGATGTTATTAGAGATCCAGATCTTCTTTAATTTGTTAAAGACACCTCTGGCTTTTGATAACCTGTTCTTCAAGTCCTTTATACCACCACCCTCTGTACAAACTTTGGCCCCCAAGTACACGAACTCATCGACATCTTCAATATCCTGTCTATTGATTATGATCTTTTCTTGGTTCTTTCCATTGATCCTCAAGGCTTTTGTCTCTTCTTTGTTGATTTTGAGTCCCACCCATTCATCCAGCCTTGTTGTTTTATCCTGAATCTGCTGCTTGGTAGACGAGAGCAGGACTATATCGTCCGCAAAGTCCAAGTCGTCCAGTTTTGAAGTAAACTTTCATCTAATATCATTTTCACCACTACCAACTGCTCTTCGCATTACCCAATCCAGAACAATCAAGAACAAAAATCCCGACATATTACATCGTTGTTTTACACCAGTTTTAGTGTCAAACCACTCACATGTTTCCCCATGTGCTATAGCACACTTGAAGTCGTCATAAAATACGCTTACCACTTTCACGATCTTCTCCGGAATTCCATACTTGGCCACTATTACCCACAGAAGCAAAGACGAAATCACAAAGCGCAGATACGAAATACAAATTTAATCCTGGATTATTTTAACTACACTCAATTGAAATATTAACCATGTTTCTTTGCAGGGTTTCTGATGAACGCGGAACACTGGAGATGTCAACGGTCAATGAAATGCCTCTCAAAAAAGAACATCTCGACCCAAACGTGAGTCTGAATAGGGTTGCATGGACGACCCGTTTTCATTCTGTATGTTTTAAAAAAATAGAATCACAGCAGCTTTTGACGACATTCCTTTACAAGGCTTCTCCCCTCACACGATTAGATTTCACGATCAATTGCCTTTCCTCAACTCAAAACATTCATTATATTTGCGAGCTATTCAACTTGATAGCTTAATTTCTCTTGAGTTAAATTTCTGTTGCTTAGTTCTTACGCTAAACTGTTCTTCAGTTTTCCACATCCGATATTTTCTCCAGGATTGCTTCATCCTGGACTGCGGCAGTAGCGGAATATTCGTGTGGATCGGGAAGAAATGTACAGATGACGAAAAGAAGGGAGGGATGAAATTTGGAATGGTAATATCATGCACACTCAATTCATGTTACAAATTTTTATTTGCTGTTGTTCAGTTGGACTGTGAAGCTGTGGCCGCTTTGTAACCGCCTCTTCTCTTTAATAGGATTTTATCAGCAAGAAGGGCTATCCCCAGTGGACACAGGTCACCCGTGTGGTGGAGGGTGGGGAGACACCGATCTTTAAACAGTTTTTTTCAGGATGGAGGGATGAGGGCGAACAAGTGGGACTGGGAAAGGTGTTCAGACAAGGATCCTTGGGTAAGTTTGCCTGTTAAACTGGTTAAACAGGATAGATTAAAGACTTAACCGAAAATCAAAATTTGAAACTTCTTCCAAGTTTGAAAGATCTTACAATTAACTGGCACATTTGTGAGAATAGATGAAAAACGTCAACAGGTGCCTGATTTCTTTTTCGTTCAAAGAACATTTCTCCAGAACATTGTGTGCAAAGCAGACGACAGTATTATGACGGGTTTTTTCTAACGCAAACTGCTCACTTTATCTCTCAGCCAAACAGAGCAATGACAAGTTTGACGCTTCACAGCTGCATGACAGAGAAAGACCGAAACACAAAACGGAAATCCTTCCTGATGATGCAACAGGAGATGTAGAGGTGCGATGAAGACATTAATTAACTTGATTCATTTTGTTTGATTGATTTTTGTGTAACATGTGCCGCGTTGGTGTGTCTGCCGATTTCAAATGAATAATGGCTGATAGTTTCTAAAGAAACTGTTTGGGGCTGCGTCGGTGGGGGTAACGAAATAATTTGAATATATCAACAAAGTTGAAATGGTAAATTGGCCACCGTTATGATTATAAAAGCTGACATTTGGAGCGTTAGCCCTTCGTCATTCGCTCCGATGAAGGGCTAACGCTCGAAACGTCAGCTTTTATAATCGTAACGGTGGCCAATTTACCATTTCAACTTTGTTGATATATTCAAATTATTCTGCTGATTTCAGTTTAAAACATAACTTGAGTCTAATATTGATTCTTCACATGTTGATACTTTGAGGTAAAGAATTTAACTGGTCACACAAAAAAATGCTCCAGTTAATAATGGTCCACTATCAATCCACTTACCCTTTTTTCCAGATCTGGCGTGTTGAAGACCGTGACCTGGTTTCCTGGGAGCCTAACTTGCACGGAGTATTCTTCAGCGGCGATTCTTACGTTATCAAATATAGCTTCACTGCTAACTGGAGGAGGCAAATAATAATCTATTTTTGGCAGGTATCAATCAAATCTAAATTGAATATGTATTGGTGTGTTTTTTTTTATGGCATCCTAGAAATTAGGTTAAGAGTTGACAGCCAATCGGTTCACAGCGGAATTTAAATGTAGTGAAAGTGTGAAATTGAAAGAGAATGATTCGATACCTTAATAGCAGCATAGGCTGAATTGCTAAGGTCTAAAGTGTTACTAAGGTTGAGATCGGACGTCAGCAGTATCAGGCGCCTCTGGCAGTCGCTTTAGACCGTGTAACGACCTCACCTTTTCCCCCCACACATCCCACCCCAGGGGAAGATATCCATCACATAGTAATCTCGTGCGTGGGAATTAACGTCTCCTACCCCTAACCCTGCAGGAGACGGGACCTCCATTTATTTGTCCTTATCTGAGAAGACTAGAATATCTATCCATTTCATTGATGTTATAGAAAGGTAGCAAATTCTCCTCAGTTATTTTAAGACCATGAGTATTGGTCCGGCCGCGATTCGAACCCTCAACCTCCTGCACATCACAATCCGCGTTCTAACCAATTGAGCTAACCAGGAGGCGGTTAACATACTGTTAAAAGCAGAAACCAACAAGAGTTTTTCTCAACTGTCTTCTGCCAGGGAGCGAGAAGCAGCCTAGATGAGAGAGCAGCATCAGCCATGTTAGCTGATCAAATGGACAAAAATCTCGGTGGAATAGCAACACAGGTAATATTTTTTTTTTAATTTTTTTTTTTTTTAAGAAGAGCCCATTTATGAGGTTCTGGACTACTTACCTTCACGAGGTAAGCACCCATTTAAACAAAAGAAAGCGTTTTCATATGAAAATAGTTCGATTCCCACCAGGTATTTCCGCAATTTTTATTGTCTTTGGTCATGTAAAATCTGTCCAGTATGAAACAGTCACTTCAAGCCCTTGGTAAGAAAACTTGAGCTTTAAGTCGAAGTGAGGAACAGTAGGGAGGAGGCAGGAATCGCAGATACGACAGATACCAAAACTTTTGGCTTGTTGCTTTTAGATCAGAGTTGTCCAGAATAAAGAACCGGAACACTTTTTGAGAATGTTTCGTGGACGCTTCATTATTCTGGAGGTTGGTATTCGTCGAGATACTGTGGACTTCTGGTAAATTTATGCATAATATCATTTCGCCGAGATTGTTTCATCGATCTTAATGTTGTAATTTACTTAACCTATCGTCTCTCGAAGTGAACTATAAACTGGTGTTAGTGATCGTTTATTTTCTCGCACATGATTTCTAGGGCGGCAAAGGAGCAGGTTACCGCGCTGGGTCAGAGGAGGATACGTACGACAGTGAAGGCAAAAGAATGTTTCACGTTCGTGGTTCGTCGGACATGAACGCCAAGGCGATGCAGGTTTATGCTTTAGTGGAGTGATTCGTAAGATCTGTCAGCAGGTGTGGCTTACGGGTATTCCTGTGGCCAGTTTATTTTAAATCTTACTATCTCCTTTCTGTCAATTTAAATACTTTACTGTAAAATTTATCGTGTTCGTTGGTATCTACAGGTGCCTCGGAGAGCAGCTTCGTTAAATTCTGGAGACATGTTTGTATTGGAGACTCCATACATAGCCTATTTGTGGAGAGGAAAGGTGATAACTTACATTTGTTACATCTACTGTCTCCAGGAGACCGTCTTACAGTCTAATAGTTATCATTTCGATTAACACCACCGTAACAGATAGCAAGCTTCAAGGCTGAATAATAGTTTCCCCGTTTACTCCTAAAAAAAAAGTTAAAAAATCACTCGCCCGCGGACATTAAAATATTGACCTGACATCAAAATATGTAGTCACATCTCTTTAAACTAATAAGCTGAAATAGCCCCGACACTTAATTTGACTGGTCGAATACAGTTCTTCTTTGGAATACCCTAATCTCAGAGGATCTGACTACACCGTCATATAAAAAACATCATATGTCAATTTTCTGTTTTGGTTGACTTATTTAACAGGGGGCATGTGCAGCCGAAAGGAGAAATGCAAGACAGCTTATTGATTACTTGATGGTTGGCAGGTGAGAAAACTAATTGGCTGTTAAGCTCGACATTTGATAGGCTGGAAGAAGAAGCCATTCAGGATTGAAAAGTAGTGACTGTTTCGCTTCCTTTCTTACCTTTTTCGCGGCCAGATATTCTAAAGAATACGATACTTTAAGTTTTTCGGGTCCTATTCTAGATTTAGCTTTTGTTTCTATCTTTAGAGAGGTAGAGCCCATTCGGGAAGGGAAAGAACCGAAGGCATTCTGGGAAGCTATTGGGGGATATGAAGATTACGCAACAGGAAAACGTATGGAGGTAACAGAAATTTATCAACAGTGTAAAGGCATTTTTCTTATACCTCTTCTTGGGTGTAGTACTTTTAGGTAGCAGTGGAATGTTACATGATTTGTTTGTTTATAATGGTAATTGAACTGAGTGGAGTGCAATTTGGGTTGAAATCATACGCGTGATTTCAAAATTTAACAGGCGCGCAGTGCGAGTTCGATTTGAAATCACGAGTATGATACCAGGCCAAAATTGCGCGACACGAAGTTCAATTACCACTTTATTACATCCATTTTGAAATCGCCCAAATATAGGACTTGGTCAATTCAAATATTTTATTGATGCAGTATTGAGCCGGTTTCTAAATAAAAAGCGGAACCGGAAACGCTTTAACATCTTATTTTGTATGCAAAACAAGGCTGACGTCATGTGTCAAAAACTCAGTCAAGATTAAAATAATGCGATTTAGAGCAAAAAATGGTGCTATTCGTGAATAAATCGCACCAATTAGAGCCAATCAGATTACAGGGACCACCAGTGATTTCAAAATGGATGTAATAAAAAACAATATACTGCAGGCCAAAACTCAGCTGATTTAATTTTTTTTGCCTAATTCTTTTCAGGAAGAGAAACCCAGCTACCCACCGCGTTTATTTCAGTGTTCCAACGCCTCTGGAGCATTCAGAGTGGAAGAAATATTTGAATTTTGTCAAGAGGTTAAAGAAACCTTTCCATGAGTTTAGAACTCGTTCCAGTTTGTCTCGTGCGAGTTTTGCAATTGTTAATTATTAAATCATTCTTGTAGGACCTGGTTGAGGATGACGTCATGTTCCTAGACACGTATGATGAGGTACAATCAACTTTTATTATCCTTATGAAAATTATAATTATTTATCTGAGGAGCGTTGTGCTCTTGTGGAGACGTTGCGGTTGGAATTGAAATTGAGCGGTCAGAGTTTTGATCCGAAGCCGAGGTTACTGATGGTACTTTTTTTTTTTCATTTTTTTTTTTTTTTATTCATTCATTTTTGGGAGGGGGTGGGGGTGGGGGAACGACGGACTGATTTAATCCCCTTCCTCCCCCGCCTGTACTTTTCCAACTTTCTATCGAGGGAAAACAGTTCAGCGAATACCACGTGATGTCCTCGACTAAGATGGGAAGAGACGATGTAGGCATTGGTCTGTGGCAGGTTCACCATTGAATAGAAAAAGAAAGAAAGAAAGAAAATCATTCAGTGACGCTGATTGATTAAAAATATAATTTATGATGTTCAGACAGGATGGAAGTATTCAATGCAGTTCTTCCCTTTCTTCAGGTGTTTGTGTGGATAGGAGAAGGAGCAAACGAAGTTGAAAAAGCTGAAGCTGTCACCGTAGCTATGGTAACATATAATGGCTTGATCCTTGCTGTCAAAAACAATCTTGAAGATTACAGAAAATGCGAAATGTTCTCCATAATCGATGTATAAATTATAATTTGTCATCATTATCGTTTCACAGTGTGGTCGCGATCTTATTCTTAATTGATTTGTGATCATGAATATGATCCCGTGCTCCTGACTTTAAAGGTCTTCATTATCATTATCGTTACAAACATAATTTCAGGGGAGCAACTATAAAAAAGAAAGATGGCAAAATTTGAGCTAGGTTAGGAAACGAGGATATAATTATTCGTCTTGTCGCGAACGTGGAATAAAGATACAACTCTGTATTCCTGTGAAGAATCGAACCACAGACCCTCGGATTCGCCGCCCTAAATCTCTACCACCGCGTCACGGAGAATTCTATCGTGAGCTGGGCCATTACAAGGTTAATCAAAACTCTAACAAAAATTATCGAATGTGATTAGTTATCACCAGCCCGGTCTGAGCACTAACAGGACATTTGTCTCTTCATGTCGAACGAAGTTGTGCACGCGCATTTGTCGCACATCTCGCGGAGTTAATGTTTTTTTTTTTTTTTTTCTATGAAAACGAACAAACAATGTCTAACTTCTTTCTCAAATTTTGTCACAGTTCTTATTGACTGGTGACAGGACTTACTCGTGATTAACAAATCGGACTCCTACTAAGCGGTCGCCCGAATTTGTTAATAGACTTCACTCGGTCCTATTACCATGAATAATATCAGACACTCGTCCTACCTACTGCTACAATAACAAAGATGCCTAAACTTTAAGGTCGGTAATTTTCGTGACCTTAATTGTCTTTATTCTTCCGATCTTTTATTCCACGAAAGGTTGCTATGTACTTTGTCAGGGATATTTTAAAGAATTTCCCCCCTTGCTAATCGAATACCATCGCAAACTGTCGAAAAGGAAAGTAGAATAATATTTTTTCTTTTAAAGGATTACGTAAGATCCGATCCGTCTGGACGGACATTGGAGGATACAATAATAATTCAAGTGAAACAAGGATACGAACCTCTGAATTTCACTGGTCACTTTCAGGCCTGGGACCGAGACAAATGGAGCGTAAGTTTAAATCTAAACATTACCTCGTTTTCAAAATCTTGACTCCTTCGACTTACCGGTTTGATGGCAGAGTCGAGAAGAAAACATGTGAACGTTAGCTCATGGGAATTACATTTAAGAATTTTAAATCTTGGTCTAATTTGCCAGAAACTAGACAGTCTTCGTCGTACAAGAAACACTAATCAACCAAAACATTTCTTTGAAACTGCTGCTTTTAATTCACCTGTTCTAATTGTCTACTTTCAGAAAGGAAAGACCTACGAAGAATTAAAGAAAGAAATGGGAGAGGATGGTATCAGAAAAGTCTCCGAAATACGAATTACTCCTCAGGTCTGTGAGAAATGACAACATTTCACAAAGCTTCCTTCTTTCGCCTCTTTCCAAAAGAGGTTTATTTACTTGTTTCCCTCTTTGGAAAACGCATGTAAAACACTGTGCAAATTTTGAATTGTTGTATGTAGAGTGTGAAAACCATGAATAACCACAACCACAGTGACGTCACCGACGGTGGTACATTTAGCTACGAAGCTCTGGCCAAGCCATATCATCTCCTGCCAGCAGGCATCGATAAAACAAGGAGAGAGGTACATTATTTTTTTATTCCCTTGGATAAAACAAAAACAGAACACTTGAGCAGAGTCGATTTTTAGACGTGGACGTCGACCGAAAGAAGAATAAAACTAATTCTGCCGCGCTTTGACGTGAATGAATCGACTTAAGCAATTTAAACCAAATTCTGCTGACCAAAAGGTGTAGTGAGCACTATGAATGAGAACTTTTAATTTCTGGTTGCTGCCCACGTCTCAAAAATGTTTGTGTCTAAGCTCCCTAAGAGTTGCGCCACCTGCCACAGGATAAATTCTCTTCAGGAAAAAGGTATCTCTCATGACTTAAGCGTAATATCGTCATAATTTCTCCTATTGCAGCACTACCTGTCAAATGAAGAGTTCTTCTCGGTATTTGATATGGAGAGGACAGAGTTTGATTCTCTACCTAGATGGAAACAGGTGCAGCTAAAGAAAGAAAAAGGATTGTTTTGATATCAGATGTTATTGTGTTAGTTATCTAGAAAATAACTTGACAGGCATTCTTTTCGTTATTATCAATAAGAGATGGTCTTGTGTCTGAGTGGTACAAATCGAATAAGTCAAAGAATACGTGAAGACGGTTTTATGGAATTGTTCACGCCACTTTGTTAAATGCATTTTCACAATCATGGAACATTAAAAAAGGAGTGAAGTTTCCATATTTTGTATGTCAGTGAACAATGAGAAAACGCTGTTTCTTTTTCTTTATAGGCGTTTACTTAGTAGTATTACCCTCTTAAACCATTTATGGATTTATGGATCATTTTTCATAAGAGTAACTATAAGTCTTTGTTTTGTCAACTACATAAGTCTCAAAATATCCTAGTTATACATGTATTTTAAAGTTCAACCACAAAAGGAGTCAGACAACGGTAAGAAAAAGAATCAAGTGTCAAGTAAAATTTTTATTTCAGGAACCGCGGTTTTATTCATTTACTGCAGGAGCGTTGAACACCAGAGTTTATAAACTACAGTAGCTATATCGTGGAGTAGAAAAAACGTGTTTATTACGGACCGAATGAGCTTGAACAACTTGAACAATAGAATACCCAAGTTTGCTTTAGACCAAAACTTGTCTCCCTTATCAAAGAATAACTATATCAGCTCCCGCCATCGCTTTTTTAGTTTATATTTAGTTTTCTTAATAATTTTTAGCAGATTCTGAAGGATGATTAAGCCGGATAAACTACAGCTTCGTTATAATAAATTTGAGTGATTTACATGACAGTTGTAAGCGTCTCGTTGCTCTGTGCGACTTTTCTGAAAAATACGGCTGTAGCAAATTAACATCGGTTTGCGTATACTAAAAAACTGCATGAAAAGCAAAAGCAGTCGAGCAGTGATTTTCGCAGCATCACTCAGTTTATTTGCTTCTTCTAATTGGCTTTATCTTTTTGTTTTCCAAACCGAGTAACCGATAATCACAATGCTGAAGTCTTCGCACCAGGTTTATCATCTGTGCTGCAGAATACATAGCATATAATGGAAAAGAAAGAATTTTCATGAGTTATAACATCTTAATTTTCCAAGCGTGTAGTATCCTTTCTCGACCCCGTCACCCGTATCTCCAAACCTCAGCTCAGACACCGGAAGAGTTGACTTATCTGCCAAAAGCCCGCTGTCCTCTCTCCACACATAGTCATTTGAATCACAGTTACATGGCTTAGATGATAATGCGCAAGTCCTGCTCACTCCGCATGCGCACTTACCACTTCCCGGCGAGGCCCCTCCCCAGTAGTTCATTGGGACACCGTCACGTGACATCCACCAGCCAAAGTCCTACACGTCACCATAAAACAAAACCGAGTCGTAGCACTCATATTTTATGAACTGTTCACAATTTGTAGAAGCTGCAATTAAACCGACCAGTTGTTGTTTACTGTAGCCAGTGTACCTTATTTTCCGCTGATAAGTTCCCGGACTTTCGAAGCCACTAACCAAAGTTCGCGCTTCGCTGTCGTGACCAATGACTGTCACGCCAACCCCATTTTTGTCACGCATGTCGCAGTGAACAGCAAATGGCTTTAAACCTTTTGGGCCTATGAAGTATGTCCTGCTCTCGGAAAATCCAGCTCGTTTTATTTCACTACAGGAACTCAGGGAAAAAATGTTAACACCTACATGAGAGTTCAGAGAAGCCACAAGATTTCTTGCAGTACAAATATAAGTACCTTGATCAGCTTGAGATGCTCTATCAAGAACCAGTGAGCCATTTTCGAGAGTACGATGTCTTGCAGCTAGCTGAAGTCCGTTTTATCGTGACCGCGTAATAACTACAGGAAAGTTTCCACTGTCAGCTTGACAGTCCAGAGTAAGCGATTCACCAAATAAAATTTTGACACTTTTAGGGGGGCGTACTGTAAAATGAGGCTTAGGAACCACCACGACACTACCCGTGACGGTCTTGAAATTGATCAGGTTTTCTGCCCTGCATGAGTATGTACCGGAGTCCGAGATTTTTAAGCATTTTAACATGAATGCAGCACCGTAGACAATGAGCCGCTTGGTGTCTAAAGTTGATCCCAGTCTCTCCCAACTTATCCTCGGTTTTGGGTTACCTGTCGCTGCGCATGTCAATCTTAGATCTGAACCTTCTTCTAGTGCCATGGACTTAGGTCCCTGGGTAATTATCACTGGAACTACAAATCAGATTGAAATAGTGAGTGACTAAGGATGTTCAAGTCAAATAGGATTTCAATCTTTTATTTATTAGATATGGCCCTATCCCCCGATTCCCTCAAAATTCTCTGTAATATTCTTCTGATTCCCCCCTCTTTGGAATTTGACTGGCAGTCAATTTTCTATTTATACTTTGTTGGCGACGACTGATCCCCCCTCGGCCTCCCCCTGATAATCATGTAATCCCCCAAAATTTTCCATCCCTCTCCTTCCAGGCGATAAATAAGGACTGGTCTCTTAACGAACTGCAACCCAAACTGGTTAACCCAAATACCTTTTAAGGGGGACACGCCTTACTTTGTCACGTACCTTGTACTGTCAGGTTGGCGGACACACTGTCATTTCCCAAGACACTGCTGGCTAAACACGTGTATGTCCCGTGATCAGAATAAGTCACATTCCTTAACAACAGCATGTTATCAGGTTGAATGCTATGACTTTCATAGATGATAAGAGAGCTTCCGCCTCGATTCCAGGTTATGATAGGCATGGGAAGTCCTTCTGCCTTGCATCTGAACGAGGCTGAACTGTGCTCACGGACGGTTAAAGAGGTCGGAGACGATGTTATCTTGGGAGGAAATACTGACTGGCCTGTGTCACCTATGGAAAGAAAGCAATTGGTATGCTTTCCATGTCAGTCACCCCCTCTTCTCTAAAGTACTAAATAATAAGTGCTCAAGTGCAGTTCAGCCATTTGTTTGCCATTTTGTGGAAAACTCTTAGCGGAACAAGTGAAAGCTGGAGCGAAGACAGATTTTTCTTTTGGAATCTGTTTCTACCCAGGACAATAGGGATTTACCCCTTAACGACGTATTTGTAACGAATAATGGTTAGGAAAAATATGAAGAGGGAAAAACTAGAGGTAAGAATGTCATAGTCGAGCCAGGCTACTGATGAAAATAATTATAAGATAAAGCAACCATCAATTCTTTGGAGCCAAATTAAACTACTCTACTTGTATTGCAAGAAAGTTCTACCTTTTTCCCCTTGTTCCCATGCTTTCCCGCTTCGCCTTTCTCTCCCCTAAGTCCAGTCGGTCCACGTTTACCACGGTAACCTTAACTGGCCTTATTTCCTTTATCACCTGGTCTTCCTATTGGTCCATGTATTCCCATGTCACCTTTGGGCCCTTGCAAACAGAGTTTCTCGTCTCGCGAGCAGAATGTCTTCATCATGGCTGAGGACACGTGTCTGATTTGAGTAGTGATCTCATTTTCAACTGAAACGTTTTTGGACGAAGAAACGCTTCTTCGGTAACGTAGAACATGATCTGTCAGCAAATCCAAACTCACATCTGAAATACGCGTTGAAATCAAGAATATTATGAAACTTGAAGTATCTTTTATAACCGATATTCACTTTCTCTGTTTGTACAATTCCAATCCGCGTCCGCATATATTTTGTCACTGCGTCACATTTACGTTTTGTCTCGTCAGACTAAGGCCTATCGATTGGTATCTTAAAGGGCATCTTGATCATTGATCTACGCAAAATGTAGTCGCACTTTTTTGTTTTCAATCTGAAAACAGTCACATGTCCCTACCTTTGTTTCTATTCGTATCAAGGTTCGTCCTCAAGCCATCAAGGTTCGTTTCTATGGATAAAACGCGGGACTCGAGTGCTAAGTAACGTGACTGGTTTCTTATTATGATAATACAGAGCATAATAAAATACAACACAGATAGTGCTCGGCTCACGAAAGAAGAAAAATTCGACGTTATTGACTTGTCGGCCATCTTAGCACAATCCTAATATTTAAAATGGAGCCAGCTTAGAAGACTTATTGGACGCGGAAATAGATACATCTGATCACGTTCAGACAAAGGGGAGGATTAATTTGAGACGAAATAATGACAAGTGATTATCACACCGTCACGCATGGCCTAAAAAGAGTGAGCAATCATGTGGACGCTGTATGATATGTTAGAGAATACAAATAAAACATATTATAGTATAATACTATTGAATAAAAACCGTTTACAATTTGTAACATATTTTTATTTTCCAAGTGCGTCAGGCACGAGGAAGTGAATGCATCTGATCACGCAAAGAAACGGTTAAGACAAACAGGAAGTTAAAAATTGGACACTAGAAGGAAACCATAGCTGTAATGATCACCTCGCTACGTACCCTTACCGATACACAGAACAATTAAAGTTATAAGCTCCCATCGGGGGTAAAAACCTACATGAAAGGGGCGGGAATGCTTATCTTAGGGTCAAAATCCCTAATTTTGGAGTCGCGACGTCAATAGTTTCACCACATTTTTAGAATGAAAACGAAGACATTCTTAACACATTGCAGAAACTTAAGTTCTATATATAGATTTATAAACTTACAGAAATTTATAATGATTCCCAGCCATCATTTAACAGTCCTTGGTTAGTCGTTTCTTATAAGAGACATAAGAGAGAGGCGCCCATACTGGTCCAATTATGCAGAATAGCGAAGCGAAATTCCCGACAGGCATTTCTATTTCTTTCATAAGGGTTTACCCTTCCTTGGACCTGAAATAAACTTTTGGAAGACTCCGGTTTTGAGCCAAACCGTAAATTTCCTTATCTCCCTTACGCCTGATGCTGAAGCCACCGACCCTTAAGAAAATCTAAACTGATAGGATTGGCTTTCCTGCTTTTCGACCTTATCGATAATTTTATACAATGAAATATATGAAGTTCATATATTTTGAACTGCGGTATTAGATACATATGATGCACGATCCTCGCAGTAGATAGCGCTATTTAAGCAATAGCGAAAATCAGACCTGAAAAAAATCAGGCCTGTACGGGATTTGAACCACTGACCTCTTGTTAGCTCAATTGTTAGCTCAATTGGTAGAACGCTGCACTAGTATCGCAGAGGTCAGTGGTTCGAATCCCGTACAGGCCTGAATTTTTTTCAGGTCTGATTTTCGCTATTGCTTAAATAGCGCTATCTACTGCGAGGATCGTGCATCATACGATAATTTTATATCTAACTTTATGTGCTACTCAGCTCTGGAGGAAACTGATCTGAGTTATCAATGAGAGGCCGGCACTGTGCCACGGAGCATCACATCGATCTTCCAGCTCTAATGCTCCACTGCACCACGGCAGAGTGCACCACTCGATGGTGAGCCAAGCAGGTTCAAATGAAGTTACCGTGAGCCTGGTTTAAATAGCTCTGCTTTAAAAAACAACTGTCTTTTTTCCATATCCAAACTTTGGACACCGCAGACGGCCGTCAATCACGATAACCTGTGTAGGACAGATTTCCGTGGAACTATTCCGCTCAGGAATCCAGGAATCCAGTCCAGCCGGAGGTAGCATTCTGGCTTTGGGATTATCACTCTGCAGATCATGTCTCGACTCACTACAGGTTCCTGAAAAGTTTAAAGAAATTTGTCTTCGTTTGGACTCTCAAGTTGTAATTCCATTGCCGTAGCGATTAAACTAAACCGCACATTTTTTCTTTTTTCTTTATGGCTTTAAACCTATCCGGTCTATCTGTAGAATAAATTAAATTCGAATTGCGAAGATCTGCACAAGTTTAAAGTGAGGTGGTGATTAAATGGATCTAGAAACGTATGAATTGAGATATCGTCTAAAGCGCCCCACACCATGTGCATCTTATCTTTAGAGGACAAGGTCATTTGGCAGCCAAGAGGTTTGAATGTTGGAAGCAAGTTGAATTGTAATCGTTCGGGCATATAGCATTTAGCCTGGCATTTGATTCCTGAATTTCAAGATCCCTCATTCAAGTTATTATTGCAAACTCTCCTAGAACAAATGATTATCTTTTCCATAACATAGATAACAAGATCATTAAAAATAATGGTCCAGTTAAAACTTCTATAAATGATCTACATTTTCGGCTCGATTGACAAAGGAAAAATTGGATCTTATTCGCACGACAACTGTTTTATTTATCATTGTACACTCAGGGAAAAATCGATTTATGCCGGGTGTATACATAGGTTTACTCACAGGATAGCGTCGTCTAGTAAAACAGTCTGAACTGTCTTAGAGAACACACGCATTAAAATTCATCATTGACCTGCAGATGACAAGTAACGCTTTGGCGCTTTGGTTTTTTAAAACGATAATGGAAAATTCTTTATTTAAAGGTCGATACTCCCATAATTATAACTTACTTTAAAAAGAAATCACTTTGTCTTGAATTATTAAAGTAAAGATTATTACGCAGTCAAAGATTAAAGCTCAAATTATTGGCACCAGATTGCATCTCCAACAGACCCATAAATCACGGTCTGTCAAACAAATCCAATTTCCACTGGATGAACTCCAGTGAACGAAGATGGTAGAGAATATGGTACCAGGCGGATGAAAAACGATCTTATTCATAATTCGTGCGATATTAATTTCCAGGTGGAACAACTTGAGTTGCTGACCACGAAAGATCCACAAACTGTCTGAAACAATGGTAGTCGGTTGCTCGAGGCGATTTAGTTTGATCCCCAAAAAAGGTTGTCTAATTTGGAATGATAAATTATTTTATAAGTTCTCCCGTTGTCAAGTCTGTAGATCCTCAGTTAAGTCGCAAATTTCAGCCCATTTCAGACTCGGAAACTTCTCAGATGTATCGAGCAAGTCACCGGCAAGACGCTTTCGTCTGTTGCGCGCTTGGTATTTATAAACGATCGTGCATCTAATGAGCCATTAAAGGGGTAACATAAACATACATATCTACCCTTGTCCTTCTACAGTAGGCCGGCTAAGATATTTTAGAAATTTAAAGAGTGTTTTTTCAAAGCGTTCATGTTAGCGCCATCACACCACCATTAATGTTGACATACAAAAGTTTCATTCGTTCTGCTGGGAGCTAAACGCTTGTATGAAAAAGCGTACTTAATATGAAGTTAGGTTTTTAACCACACAAACTATGCCATATCCCTCGGCGGGAGTACAACTTTTTGCTGTTGTCTAATTTAGAGAACAGTCAATATTTAAAAAAATCAGTTATCACTACCGACGCAGCCCCAAACAGTTTCTTTAGAAACTATCAGCCTTTATCACTAATTAATACTGTTGTTTGTTGTTGCGAAACAGTTGGGTGCGACTCGCGTGGGCGGGAAAACTCCGCTAAACGGACCGCGGTGCGTTAAACTGTTGTCTATCAACCTGGAACACCAGAATGGCTCCACGTTAATGACGTCACACGAATCATGACTGGGTAAAATGCTGCGGTTGACAACTGTTGTCAACCAGACAAACCTCATCAGTAAAGGGAAACATTGATGTGTGCTTTGATATAGTCTACTAGACGTTTATCAGACGATGAGATAAGTCAAGTTTCTTTTTAGGCCCCTGGCTCCTGCACTTCACAACTCTATCTCAAGGATTTCTGTCATCAGCAAACTCTACTTTCAAGTGGAGGAGACATAAAGCGTATACGGACGCCTAGGGTAGGCCTTAATTGGAGTATTTTTTTCGCTGGAGTTCAAGATCTGCTCTGTTGTTGGTCAAAGAGTCATGAACGGCTACCGTCGAAAGTCCTTTTGCGGTTTCGTGCCTTCCGTGGAAAGAATGAAAGATGAAAGATACGGCCACCTTAAGGCAAGGAAATATTCCGAAGCCTGCATTCAGCATAAAATAAACAGGCCACCAAATGATAAGAAACTGGGAGATTTACGAAGGTCTGCTTCATTACCGGACTGCCAAGAAATGGCAAGAATACACTCTAAAGGGCCGTCTCGCAGCAAGGGAATATTCTCGGATCCACCCGAGGGCATCACGAGAACCCGTAGCGTTTCGTTCGCTCCAGAAGTTGTCTTCTTTACTGCAGTGGCTGATAACGATGTCGCAGAGCTCACGAAGATTATTCACAAGCAGGAAATAGATTTAAACCACCAGAGTCCGTCTGGACTCACGGCGCTGCATTACGCAGCTGCCGAAGGAAGCTTCGAATGTCTTCAACTGCTGATAGATTACGGTGCCGAGGTGGAATTGTCAGACTCGCAAGGGTGCTCTGCATTGGATTTTGCTGTGCGTGGGGGGCACTTTGACTGCGCATCGTACCTTATCAAAGCAGGTGCCGAAATAAAAAAGATTGTAAATGGTCTGTAAACGTAGACCGCCATGGTTCATTTGATTAGGACGAGTTACAATCAAAGGAATGCTGCGTGATAATTGTTCACAACTTAAAACCCTATCTCTCGACGTATTACAAGGTCTATAAATAGGCCTTGAGCGCAAAGGTCTGCACGGTGGAATTGCAAGAATTGGAGAAGATACCAGTATTCTTAAATGCGGCCAGCATAACAATGTTTGAGTTTTTAATCTTCTTTTTTCGTTTCCTATAACACGCAGATTTATTCGTTCAGTTAAGGTAAATGACGTGCTTTTGCGGTGCGAAAAGCCGCACTAAACATTCCTGGTATGTTTAAATAATCATCTAAAGACTTATTTGTGAACAAAAACAACTTTTAAAAACAAAAAAGCCCCCTAGTAGTTTTTTTTTAATGAAATCCTTCTGTAATAGCCCGGCAGCGAGAAACACATGGGTATCGCAACTGTTGATTTAAGGCTTTTTCAAAGTTGAACTTAAGCGGAAAGGTCAGCTTTTAATGGACTACATACCTGTAAAAAAATCGTTAAATATTTGCAATATGTCAACTGCATATACAAAGTTAACTCCGTTTGAAGGGGCTCACTTTTTGACTTGTTTACATAAGGCACTGTGCCGAAATTAAAGAAGGACACAAGAAAAACAAACGGCGGATAGATGTTAAATAATTCTTTTCTAAAACAAAGCTTCGAGGATGAAAACTGAGAAGCCGCGTTGTCGACTCCTTTGTTTGTGGTTTCGCTTTTGCGCAATGAAAGAGAATATACAACATTGAGGGCATTTGTATTTAATGGTCAGGGCCATTAAGAAAGAAAAGATATAGATGATTCGTATTGTACTAGAAATAACAGGTCTGATGGTTTTAATTGTTTCGTCCAAAATAGACAGCCTAACAAATGTTGAAAGCCAAAGCAAGAAGATAACTCTCCAGAGGATTATGTATGTAACTGAAGTAGTTTCTCTTCAGGAAGAAGTTTCACTTTTTTGAGTTTTTATACCAGATTGACTTTGTTGACTCTCTGACCGGCTTGTAAATGTGGTTGAATGCGAAGGGAAATGGGTAAATAAATAATGAATTAATCACGATTAGATTTGGTCTGATGAATTCCAGAGGATGCCATTCTGAACGGCCGAACACTGTTTGAAAATTATTAGGTTTGTGCAACAGAATGCTTGCCGCGAAAGAGTATGGTAATGAGCAGTAAGGCATAGCCGGCCAATACAATGAAGTGCCCCTCGTAAACTGTATTCAACAAAACCCTTAAAGTAAGATTTCGATTGCCACAGATTAGTTGGTATTGTAGTTGATTTGACTACAATAAAAGGCTGTCTTTAGCCTTATTATTGTCCGTGCGCATAAAAAATCGACCATTAAGAGTGCGCTTTTGTACGCTTACCGAGGGGGCCTTTGGGATTTTCGGTTTTGCGGTTTTGACTGTTTTTTGGATCGGTTTTTCGGTTTTTGGGCCAAAAAGGTTCGGTTTTTTGGTTTTGAAGTTCAGAGCGGTTTGTGGATTTTACGTGTTTTTGCATTCGGTTTTCACGAAAACTCTGATGCGGTTTTCGGTTTTTCCTTTTTGACCTCTTTGAAGGTGAAAATGTAGCGGTTTTGTCAGGTTTGCATGCGGTTTTCGGTTTTGCGGCCTTTTTTCGTCGGGTTTTCGATTTTGGAGGTTTTTTCTCCGGTTTTGCGGTTTCTCAGACGCCCCAATGCCCCACTCCTTACCAAGACTGCAACCCGTGAAATTACCGTGAACACAGAGCCTTTCAGTGTTATCTCCTGACTTAGCTCTTGAGAAGCCAAAAGTATGTAAAAATCTTTTAAATGGATTTTGCACATGTTGAGGCAAAGATAATATTGATCATCTCCTGAGCCGAAAATCTGTGGTAAAAGATTTGTCAACAGTAGACCGAGTTAAACCAAAATGGGGCATATTTCTCGACAAAATGTCATGCAGTTTAGATTCTTTAAAAAAAAGTGAAAAAAAAGAAGAGACAATTCAAATATAAGTATGGCTTGTTAAGATTTACCTTGAGCCACGTTGACAGTGATCTGCTGCGGTATTAAAAAGCCGCCGGAAAAGTCTGAAATAATTAATCGCATTAAGGGTCATTAATTCAGGAAAGTGGAGGGGTTTGATCAGGTTTACTTGACCTAAAGCACGGAAATTACTACATATAAAGATATAAAGACCTTTGGATCTTCGAACTAGTGCAACAAATAATAATTTTGAAGCCCTTTTCTGATCGCAAAACTATGGTTCTCTTTGACTGCTTATGCGTTATTTTCGCATGAAACTGTTTTCGAACGTGGATGGTAGGAGCGTTTTCCCGCGAAAACTACAATCACGAGTTTCCAATAGTTTTCCATCCCCACTCGTGCCGTCGTATTCGTAAGTTGTGATCTCTAGTTCTCTTTAGATCCTGCAGAGTGTGCTTTAAACTCTAATTAAGTTTCCTTTCATGAATACAAGCTCGCTGACTTGTCTGATTCCCTGAAAGGGTTAACTAAATGGGGAAGAGTCAGAGCTAGGCGTAATGAGGTCATCAAGGGTGGGCATCGCATCTTGAATCGTTTAACGTAAATGCTTGAAGTGTCTGTCTTCAACCATCTGTGTTCAGCTTTGATTTATTCTTACTATTTAGGCGTTGTTCTACCTCAGCAAACAATGGCCTTAAAAAGGATTCTTTCTATCGAAAGGAAATTTTCAACGACCAGTGGCAATACGTGAGTTAAAACATACGTGTTTTTGTGATCATCAAAAAAAAATTATGTAACATTAGGATTTAAACAGTATTAGATGCAATTATTTGTAACTAAAGACCGCGTTTGTGAACTATTACTGCAAGTGATGTGTAAAATGTCATGGAACAGATGTAGTGGCAATCTGAGAGAAATGGTCTGCTAATGAAAAACAGTGGTGATGTAGGTGTGTTCTGAAATGACTGTTTGAGCAGTCCTAATTATCTGCTCATCTTATCTGATGTGGAAGTCTGGGTTCTACCCATATTTGATCTCGGGTGAAAACATTTAGCCATTTTCTTTTCTTTTTTTTTTTTTTTTTTCAGAATGGAAGGGAACAGGATTTAGATTTATTCATTTAATCCAAACCTCGATGTTCCACACCTTTGCTTACTTTTTATTGTGCACTAACGTGATAGCCAATCGAAAACGAAGAACGCAATACAGGTTCATATCTTACTTTCAGATGGTGTTGGACGCGAATACGTCTAAAGATTAATTCATGAAATTAATAAAGAGAAAATCAAAAGTCGATTGAGGTATAATTACAGTTGTCGCCATCCGGATTCAACTGGTCTGGAGATGTTCGGAGCAAGAGAAATAGTGTCAGTCTCGCAATAAAATGGACTCTTGAAGGATCAGGATAAATAAAATTTTGAAAAGGGAAGGCTCGATGTGAAAGAATGGTGAATTTTGAGACACTCGTTCTGTACTAGATAAATGACTTAATGAAGCAGTCACCATAACTTGTCTCTAAAGCGAAATTAAGCCGCGTCTTCAAAACAAAAGTCGAATTTTAATTGCATGCTCTGATGTGATGACCAAATTGTTTTTCTTCCCTTATCAACTTTTTTCGTGAATTGGGAAAGAAGAATTAAGGAAAGGATTAAGATTGAAATGTTATTCCCGATAAATCTAATGGATACGTTAACGTAAAAATATATTTAAACAGGAAATCAGATTATTAAGATGTTTAAGATGCTATTCTCATATCACACATTCCGGGGATAAAACCGACAAAACGGGATTGTTTGAAGTTGTGTGTTTCATACTTAGGTGAAATTTGTGAAACATACTGACTGCCAAGATCAACAAGATTTTATCAAAAACATTTTCGAATAAAAGGAAAGACAGCACAAGGACTGAACGCCATAGTTTAGTCCATCGATTAGAAATAGAAAGTCAGTTGGGCTGTAATTTTATATAGAGGTGAATCCATTAACACGTTACGTCTACATGATGAGTTTGTGTTGTCTCCTTGACTTTAACGATGACTTCCGCTCAATTTGTTACCGATGACAGTCCATTTGAGAGCTATTCTCTCCAAGACGATCAGACACAAGCACACGATCTGCTTTGCTTCACGAGTCTAGTCACTCTACGTGGATTCCAGTAGAGTACCTTCGCTTTTTATCTTTTCTGTAGGTTTGTTGACTATTCTTGTTTTTGATACTGTCTTGATGTTAATTGGAACCATTCCGCTCGCACATACTGAGTTATTTTCTTAACAGCGAGCCTTGTAAAAAAAAAAAAAAAAAAAAAAAAAAAATGAAGGGAGACCTTTCCAAATCAGCTTACTTTGCTCAGCAACACGTAGCTGTCTGTTTAAGGAACTGTTTCCTTTCCTTGCAGTGCGCAGTTGGGGCTGACAAAATATCATCTAGAGAACTATGACGGCTTTCGCCACTGCAGGCGCATGTCCACCAAAGATGCATGCGCGCTTTGGATGAATTCATGCATCACATCCTCTGTGAATTGGACAAACCGGTTCTAAACTTTGACAAAAAGCATCATTTCACTTTCGAATGCTGGGCTCATGAAGGTTTGCTCACACAAGCTGCTCCTCTCTTTAATTTTCAAAATGTCTCCACAGCTCTCCTTTAAAATTTGTTTCTTTTTCGTGGAGTGGGGAGAAGAATTCAAAGTATTTTAAATTCTCTCTCATCGAAAATAGGATGGAGTATAGCTTCGAAGTGATCATTTGACCATTTGGTTAGCCAATCTGGATTGATTCTTAAAAAAAAAAAAATGATTCAGTGTGTACGATTAAGTGATATTTAGGGGTATCCCAAAATAAATACTGATGACAAAAATTTAGAAAAGAACAACTTTGAAATTGGCCATGAATGTTTCGGAAAATTTCAAATACATTAAATAAAATATTGAAACTCAAAATGACCACCAAGATTTAATTTTTGTTTTCGTTTACGGGCCATCGGAGCGAAAATCATGTACTTTGTTCATTCTTATGCATGACAGGGCAGTTCATTGGGTGAAAATGTCTGTCACAAAGGCAAAAGCTCGACTTGCTCAAGTTGCTTCAGATTAATTTTTTTTGTTACTGTGACCATAACAGAAATTTATAACCAACTAAGGAGATGTCAAAGAGCAGTAATAACACCTGCAAATTTATTTTTATAGGCGAGGATTACTCAGTTAATAAACCGAACCTCGCGACGCTTAATTAAGATTTCTTTCCTTCTTTGAAAACGCATAGTAGGTTTGTGGTAAAAAAATAATTCAAGGTATGGAAAAAGAAAACCTACGCAAAGAAAACACAGTATTAATTTTGCGACTACAGGTGGTGTATTAATGGAAACAATGACCTGCTTTTAACAATATACTTCACCATTTTCTCACGTGAATCAAACCGTTACGTTTGATTTTTCGCCTTGTGGGCTGATCATTAAAGACTTTTCATTTATTTGTGTCTGACCGGGCGTGTTGAAAGAGGTCTTTGTGTGCTTGTAAGGGTCAATGACTGATAGCAGGTACAAGAAAGGGACTTGCAAGGTAGAATGATTGAGTGGCTCTTCTACGTGTTATTTGCAAATTAGTACTGGCACATTCCAGGATGAAGCTCTACTGTTCATAGAGTCAGTCGCCCTGATGTCTAGAATCTTGTTGCAAAGATCACTCAGGGGGCCAAAATGAGAGAAAAAAATACTAAAACGTCTCTTGTTTTCACTTTATTCCTTCTCACGAAACTGACTTTTTTACATTTGAGCGACTGCCAGCCCATGGACATTCGAGGCCTATTCGTACGAAAACATGGAAAATTGGAAACCGAGAACTCTCCGCAACAAGTAAGTGAGGAAAGTCCTTTTTCATTTATCCAGAATCGGTTGTTTGTTTTGAACTAGTTGAGAGGTTATTGAAATGATACAGACCGAACTCGCTGTTTTAAGTTCCCACTGTGCCGAGACTTTCAAACTGAACGCTGTAGGCGAGATTACCTTCATCCGTAACACGCTTTTTTCGCCTCGAAAGGAACTACCCACATAGCAGAGCCTGTATTCTCTTGACACCTCCTATCCTTGAGTTTGAATTTTCCTAGTGCGGCTATACCTTAGAAGTTATCTCGTTCTTCTCCAAAGTGGCAGAGAAGATCAAGCGACTGAATGGGTTGTTTTCATTTCTTCTGGTTGTTGCAGTGTGCTACTGATAACTTGGAATCAAAGTAACCAGTAAACCTTTTCAGTCGATTTACAAATCCAATCGATTTACATATGTGATCGATTTCCAAATCTTGATCTACGTATATGGTACTATGAAGTATTTTAAAGACAATAAATGAGACCAGTTTTTAAAGCTTGGCATCAAGTTGAAAAGCTTATGCACTGTCTGTGTTCCGCGATGTTTGTTGATGAACACGCTACAATGAACATTTCACTAGGCCTGTTGCTTATGCATTTCTTAAAACTTGAGAACCCAGCCATCCACACACAAGTTACATGATAATCAGTTTGTGTAGGAGAGGACAAACTTTATCCTTTCTTGGTTTGCTCCAATGTGAATTTTACAAACTCGAAAAGCACGTGGTATTTGGCTGTGGAGACATTTTCAGCCTCGTTCATTTATTTATTGTTTTCATTCTTTTTCGTTGTTGTTATGTGGTAAAACGTAGGGGAACCAATAGTTTTAGATTTAAAAAAAAAAAAAAAAACACTGCAAAAGAGGAATTTATGGTACAGCAAGTTTGCAAGGGCTGAGCTTGTAAGTTATTGTTAAATATTGATAATAAATATGATTCGATGTCCTATTTTCCTTGTTTACAGCAGGTAAGGCTATTTCAAGAAGAATTAGGGTACGTCTCACTTTTACATGCATCTCACGAAACCAAACGCAGAAAGGAGAGAAATGCCCCACACACGCGCTATCTCCATAAAAGAGGGAGCAATGTTCACAGTGGGGTCAGGGCTGAAATTGCACGAGCTCTTGCACATCACATCGAAGGCATGGAACCTAACTTTAAATCGGCGACCTTCCAGCAACTTTGGAGTGAACTGAAGGAGCCACTTACTGTTGTAATGAGACCGGGAAAAATAGAGGACCTTTTAACAGAGCTACAGAAATGTAACTTGGGAAACACCCCTCATGGATATGAAATTCCATCAGATTTGGATGGTATTAAAAGAGACTTGGTTATTTGCAAAATCTATGAAACGTTAGAGAAGAATGAAGAAACTTCTTCTGCTGAAAAGTCTAAACACAATAAGGGTGACTACGCCAGTATTTGGAGTCTCCTCAAGCAGCCACTGACCAGTTGTTTTAAGGTCGCAGAGCTGTCGTCGTTAATGAATGAGTTGGCGCAGTGTTTACCGCGGTTTGAGTTGGCGGGAATCAAGTACCAGGTCCCAAGTAAGATGTCTGAGGTGAAAAGAGATGTGATCATTTGTAAAGTTGATGAATTGTTTAACAAACCCCATGTTGACGATGATTCAACAGGAAGTGGAACGGAGGTTTAATTCAATCATCACTCGAAGAGTGAAAGATGCAATTTCACGCTTTAAAAACATCGAAAAATACTTGGTGGACCTACGGGTCACAGCTGCACTGGATACTTTTCCTCACAGCTGTAAGTTATAACCCTGAATTACTGAAAAATCGACAATCAAACTAATTTCAACCAAATGGCAGGGAAAAAACCCACGCTTTAACAGCCAATATTTAGGACAATTTTACGAAATGTTCCCACAAGCACCTAGTTCGGGTACAGTGCAGAAGATTGACAGGTAATTTACTGATGAAGAAGTGTCGGTCTCTGTAAGACCGCGTATCACGAATTATTTTATTGACTGATCAGTTCATCCATCCGTCCATCATCTTTCCATCATCCACTCATGAATCATGATAAAATCCCTCCTTTCATGCATACACGCATTAACTAAGTCATGGCGCACGCATACATGCATGCATGGTATGCCTGTAGGCACTCAAAGCGAGGGACTCAGTCAAGGAACAAAATGCTCTTGAAAAAAAAAATCTCTGCGCGCTTCTCGAGTATTGATACTGACACAGTGCCCAGTGAACGTTTAAAAATGATTGCGAAGAGTTGATTTCTAAAACTATCTCGACAGTGATTCAAATGTAAGGCCCCTGTATTTCATTTCAAAGTCGAAAATGACGAAACCGCTATATACGTGTAGTGTATTGATATAATTTTGATTATAAAATAAGGGGGTCGATCGAGGAGATAAGTGCATAATGAAACTATTATTTCAAAAAAAAAAAAAAAAAAAAATCTGAAAAATTTGAATGTAGTAACAGCTATATTCTATCATAAGGAAATCAAATTTTTTTAGTTGTAATTTTCCAATAAAATTAACAAAAAAAATGAACTTTGTCATTTCCTTGACCACTTCACTGTCATTGAGAAACCAGTACCCTATGACACATTCGATCTGAGCTTTTCATTCGAGTTCGTAATAAATAGATAAAGAGTAATGTGATGTGTTCGGGTGGTTTACCGATCAAAACAAATTCTTTCATTTTCTTTTATGTCATGCAATATCCCACGAGGCACTTGGGTACAACTTTGGATCGCCGTTTAGACATCGAAATTACAACAGTTTTTCTGTATAGCGGTTTTGCACAGCAGCCATGTTGGATGGCAAGAACAATAGATTATTTTTCACATGGGAAAAAATTTCTTTCTTATGCAAAATATTTTAATTGTTTCTGCCATCCAACATGGCTGCGGTGCAAAACTTCTATTCTGGTAACCAGTATTTTTTTTTTTTTTTATCTATTTTGAGCGATATCGCGAGATCCACTTTAATGCAGTGTTAACGTATTGCTTCTCCCAGGCTTTACACGGTTATTAGTTGACTAATACCATATTCCTCGTTGCTACCTCAGAAATCAAACGGTGCTAACTATCTCGATTTGAGTAGGGATAATACCTCTACAGACGTTCATCTATTTCATCTTTGGGTCCTAATCACCGAATATTAGGCTCTATTATTATTAGGTGTAGCGAGTGACTTTAGTCTATTTATTTAGTCTATGCATGCTATACGAGCCTATGAGCCACATTTCAATGCGTTTAAGGGAAACAAAACCAAAATTGGCGAAATCTGCGCTGTGAAAGTATTGATTAATCCTAACCCAGGAGAACAGTGGCGCCTGTCTGAGGATCAGTTCGAACGCAGAAACTGAACCAACAAGGCAAGTTTCAATTTCTTTATGTGGTCTGAGGCAATGTCTCGAAAAAAACTTTCTCAGATAAATTTGAACTGTCTCATCAACCAACCCTCAAGAGGGGAATTCATAGATAATGAAAATCAAAACTAGAATATTAAACAAATATTATGTGATGAGCATGTTGCGGATTTTTTACTCATAAAGTTAATACATGAAAATATTTTTCAAAGGAAAATGGCGAAACTGAAGTGCTGTTAGATTAGCAAAGCAATTCCGTTTGGTGGTCGGGAAAAATTCATATTGATGTTTGCTAATCTGATCAGTTTTCATTTCACTTTAGAGCTTCATTGAACTTTGGTATCGCTTCGGCTGTTTACAAAAGCAGTCGCCCACTCATTTTGTTCAACATAACCCAACCACACAAAACAGACTTGTACTTCAGTCAAAAGAACATCGATCAATGTGCCATGGTCTCTTGTCGCATGTTAGTGACTTCAAGATGGGGATTTTTTCTTCAAATTGACCAGCAAAGAAGTGTGCGGGGAGTAAGAGAAAAGGACGATGATTGCGGTGAGACGACTGAAAAGTGTTTGCAGTTTAAGAAGTTTTTATCAGTGTACCAATACTTTGACATGCATTTTTTTTAGATTCGACATCTTTCACCTATAAAAGAACCCTTCCATGAAATGAATACTTTTTCCTTCCTAGTTTTTGAAATGAAAACGACAGATTTTGCCAAAGTCACCATTCGCGGAGTTCAATCCAACATTTACGTCGCAATGAATGACCAAGGAAATTTATACACAACGGTGAGTTCTCAGCTACAGAAATAAATCAGTTAAAATCTTTCAGTTTTGAAAAAAACACGAAAAAGTGCTTCACGGTTTACAGAAGATATATAGTCCTGTAAGTCCAAATTATAATCTTGGGAAGCGAAAGTAATCCAAGTGAAAGAGTCATACAACTGAGATTGTTTTGGGAAACCTTCCAGACATTTTATGAAAAACTTTATGATATTTAAGCATTTGTCTATAACACTTTAAGTGTTGTTAAAATATCGGCATGACTAGATAAATATAACTAAGTTAAGGAATTAATCCGTCACGATGAAATTAGACCTCCTGGGCATACACCCAATTAAACGCAACAGTTCGTCAACAATTTACTTTGCACATGATTTTTTGAGATTGTAATCTGTCAGTTAGAGTTGTTATCTCTCCAAATTGTCCATCACCAGAAATTAGAAAGATGTCCTTTATCCATGAAAAAAAGAAAAAAAAAAGGCCAGATTAGCATTCTCTTAATAACAGTGTAAACATCTTAACGGTCCAAAGGGCGTAAGATATTACTTTGGCAGGCATTGTGGCGCATTTTACTAAAGTGAAGAATTTGGCGGGTATTTTAGCCTGCTGGCACACTCACATGATTTTTCAGACTGTTTTGTAGATATAATTTGGATATATTGAAATACAAAATTGAAATGGTAAATTGACCACCGTAACGATTACAAAAGCTGACGTTTCGAGCGTTAGCCCTTCGTTTTCGCTCCGACGAAGGGCTAACGCTCGAAACGTCAGCTTTTGTAATCGTTACGGTGGTCAATTTACCATTTCAACTTTGTTTATATATCCAAATTATTTCGTTACTCCCACCGACGCAGCCCCAAACAGTTTCTTTCGAAACTATCAGCCTTTATTCATATGTTTTGTAGATATTTTTTCGTTTTTTTTTTTTCAGTACCTTCCGAGGGTGATAATTTTAGAGTAATTTTAACCCTCACCTGGCGGCTCGAGCTAAATTGACTGAGTCGGGCCCAAAACATTAATACGCCCGCATGTTTTATTATTGCTGATGGTAATACGAAAACGCTGATATCATTCTAGTTCCGCTTTATCACTTCTGTGTGCATATAAAATGAGATCACTTACCTGATCACATCTACATTCTGCTCCAGTAACTAGGATATTTGGAAACAAAAGGAAGATTTATCAGATGATTGTCGAAGTTATTAGCTACTCTTTAAATTCGAGATAAGATAAAGTCATGTTTATATGTGTGTATGTCGGTTACAGTATACTTTTCTTTTTTTTAAATTTATTTTGTTAGCGGAGTGGCAAAATTATTAATTATCAAGTTCTCTTTTGGGGAAGTCAGTCGGTGTTTTCATGAGTTCAGTTTGTTACAATTTGCATTTCCTAAACAATGCCATGTTCATGTGATATTATTTTCCAGGACACTCAGAACCCCTCCTGTGTATGGAAGGAAATTCACCATACTGATGGTTACAACTACTACGAGTCCGATCAACACAACGGATTTTTTCTGGCGCTTAAACGGAGAGGTGATCCAAAAAATGGCCGAAGCACTGCTCTGGGACAAGTATCCTGCGCTTTTCTTGTAACTACCATAACGCACGAAGCAACATGAGCTCCTTATGAAAAAGAAAGAGGTTTAATTTAGCATGGTGTAATAGTACACTTGTAAGCCACTGGCGTCTGCTAGATGCATCCGGATGAAACTAAAAGGAAATATAATCCACATATTCATAAGATATTAATGGTTGTTCTTACAATAAATGTTGCGGAAGTAGGATGTATGGCAGTTTCTTACCTTTTTTTCTTTTTTTCGCTTTCAGTTTGAAAAAGTACACCTCAACCAACAAATTTTGAAAATAATAGGCAACCTCAGACTTGCACCGTCTCTGTCTAACCTGATCAATGACTCTAAAGAGACCGGGTGAGGCGTCCACTTCCCAATTTTCAGATAAGAATGCCCTGCACTTACAATAGTTTGTTTGGCTACGTGACGCCAAAAGAATCAGCTGGTTTGCGCGTGTGTGTGCATCCGGGTCGACATATCATTTCACCAGTTGGTTTTTGAAGAGGGAGAAAGGCGAGAGAACCCGTGCAAAAGCGCACGGAACAAGGACCGTGACAAAAACCAGCGAAAAATTCAATCAACATGCGACGAATATCGTGAATAAAGTGAAATCACGTTCATGTTTGCTTACGAAAAAATTTACCAACTAACAATCCGCTAACGAAGCACAACCGCAATATTTTAAGTAAATTTCTTAACACAGCTTTCAATGCATCTTTAATTGGTAAGGTTGATCACAGACAATTTTTGACATCGAGGAAAATTAAAAAAGAGTTGAAACTAAACTATTAAAACTTGTGACAATTTTTTTCACATAATGGTTTATAATCAAATGCTAACTTGATGAAATTTCGTAATCTTTCCATTTAAATTCTCAAAAATCTCGTAAAACGTTTGATCAGGAGAAAATACTATCTCTATTTCATAAATGTTCGCAGATACCAGCTGGTCTCACACTTACTGTGTGCACTCTGACTCTTGAAAATTAAACGATTTCAAATTTAAATAGTATTTTATTTCCAATCTCACCTATTTGTGGAGAAAAGAAAACATTAGTAAACCTTTGGTCTCCGGCCTTTCGAATATAATTCAATAAGGTTAGAAGGTTTGATGCCACGACCGAAGATTTGATTGCGCTTAAGGTCGCCACTCGTGGTGGAGAAATGTATATTGTTATATCTCTTACTAGGGTTCTGGCTCCGTGAAATTTATGTTCTCTGTAACTATCGTGACCTGCCCATGGCTCTGGGCAGAATATTCTGTTCCTCTTTTAAACATAGACATCTATCGACCCACATCTTAACAGAAACTGAACATCCGGGTTCCAAGCGTTATCCCACTGTAGGACGAGCCCACTAACGCTATCGATCAAAGGCTCAATTCAGGATAGAAATCTACTGAAGCTGTGTCGTTTAAAAATTTAGCCATTTTATGAGCTACAACCTCAGACGGATGGTAACAATGATTTTTCTCATACTCTCGTGGCCAGCCGCGTTATACATTGTACAGAAGGTTTGGTTTCTTGTCGAATGGTTCCACCCAATGAAAATACTCCAACCAATTCTTGAGAAATCCTCTATCGAAAGGATTCAAAAAGATTCCAGATGGTCCTCTCAGATACGCGTATCTCTTCTTGTTGATTCTTTCGTTTGTAGTGAGGTTGATTGAAATTTGGCTCATCTGTTCAGGAGAAAAGAAAACAAAACAAAAAAAAGAAAAAGAAAAAAAACTTTTTACCAGTACGAATAACGCTAGATGCTAATAAAAACTTCCGTGAAATAATCCGAATTGTGATATCGTAAGTATAAACTTGATGGCGAGGTCAGATGACGCCGGAAGAGACGGCGCGATACCCTCCTGCAAATTTCGC